CTACCTCGAGTGGAGACTCTAGATCCTTGGAGCTTTGGAGATAGTTAAAGAAGGCAAAAATCCTGGAGAGCAAAATGACGGCTTAAAGTTGGATGCGGAGTTGTATTTGTAATACCACGGATACGGCTGGTCCGGGGTTCCAGCACTGCAATATTGTGTAATTTACAGAAATACCTGTGGACCCCCACGAGATGATAATGCAGATAACACTTCAGTAAGGGATGTGAGTCAACCTCGTATGATTCAGAGAATGATTATGTAGCTATTACTATTACATCCTACGAAGTAATTACTTTCTCAATTCAGTGCACCAAGGCAACACTAAGACATAGTCGCTTCCTTATAAACCCCGCTAAGACCCAGTAGGAAGCTCGATGCGGGCCTCCACTGTACTTTTGCTTCATTTTTACTTGATATAGCCAATAACATCGGTACTTTAGATCAACTAGCTCGCATGGTTTAGCGGTAAATCGCATCACTACATAGTATCATGTATTAGTAATGATGAGATTCTCGGGGATATGTTCATAGAATATAAGTTACACCTATGGATCTTTTCAGCAATCATGTCGCTATATGTATACCTGCATACTACAATAACCTGACCTCGATCATCCTACCACTAATGTATGAACGCTGGGGCTGTCGATCATCAAATCAAACATATGTAGCAAATGAGAAAGCAATAAAAACGACTGTGACATCATTCCGAAAACAGTATAGAGCATCACATGATCAGCCCTCTTGGGCTGTCCCCAGGTTTTCTCCAGATTTCGGAGATCGAGTTTCGAGTGTCAAACCCTCACCATGTCTACAACGGTGACACAAGTCGGGGGTGTTCGTCCTCGCTTCAACCCTTTGATCAACCCGGTAAATTCCAGGCCGGTCCTCGTGGAAGAGTAAGTCACAAACAGTCCAGCTCAGTAGAAATGGCGGGGCGCGAAATGGCCGGAGAGCAAGACACGTTGCGTTGTCCAGTGGCTTGATCCCTTACATGATGGCGTACTTCGATCTCAAGCCTGGCATGTTCTATGACTGCCATGATTTCCGCATGCCCCACCCCACATTCCGCGCCAACACTGACAGTCCGGCTGACGTTTTTGAAGACACATCGAGTCCCAACACCACATCTTCCTCTCACGTCCTTATTTCGGCGCGCTCCTATTCGAAAACAGCTCCTCCGACGCCCGCGACCACTGCGCCAACGAGCGCACTTTCCTTTCATGGCTCCGTCTGTCCATGTATCTGGCCGTCGTGTCGCTGGCCATCATCATCTCCTTCCATTTCCGTGAACAACCCACCGGCCTAGAGAGACGCATGGCCTTACCCCTAGGGATCGTTTTCTGGCTTCTGAGTCTGAGCTGTTTGGCTAATGGGTTTGCGAATTACTCGCGCACGGTCAAGAAGTACGCGCGCAAGGCGGCTTTGGTGCAGAGTGGTTGGAAAACACAGGTTGTCTTTACGGTTGTCGGGACGGTGATTTTGGGCAGTTCCATTTTGTTTTTGTCGACGAATCCACAGCAGTAATGGTCATGCTGGAGTCAGATTTCTCGATTCGTTTTATTAGCGCTGGCGTTGGCATTATTCTTGGGCATTTTGGTTGCTTGTTTACATTCATTATTGCATTAATGTATTTATGTCTCGACCAGGTCTCATTGGGACTACTGTGGGAATACTCTCAAAGAATAACACGAAGATTTTCAGAACCAAGCATTGGATATGTCTTTGATTTCCTAAAATAAACCGAGAGGGCAAAATATCAGAATGAAGTGATGTCGTGAGAATCGTCTCGTGTGCAGAGGTATATTTCCATGAGTCTCGTAAAGGAGGCGGGTTTGCCCCGAGGAATGCAAAGATGACAAGATAAATAGCGCACAAACTGAAATGGAACCAAAATATGCGATAGACTATGCATCGGGTCTTTTACATTCGACGGATGTCCTGCTCGTTCTTATACTTATCCAGGGCCGGCGTACCAAGGTGGCTCCACCACTCGAACAGCATGGAGTTGCAGATAAGCTTGAACCAGGGGGTGAATTTCAAACCAGGCTGCTCGAACATTGCTTTAAGCTCATCAGCTGAGACGTAGGTAGTGTCCCGGACCTCGTTGGGGCTGGGCTCCAAATCAACATCGGCCTGGATGAAGAGGATATAGTCCACTAACAAAATGTCAGCGTTTCCATTTATCAAATCAGATATACAGTGCACCATGTAACATACCTTCATGTTCACCCCACTTTCCATCACTGGGGGCCTTGTAGTGAATTCTCGTGAAGAATTCAAACTTGTCCAGGGGTACCTGCTCTGCCTTAATGCCCAGTTCATGGTCCAGCTTGCGCTGTGCAGCACGCTTCACGCCCATGACGGCAGCATCCAGCTCAGCTCCAGTCTCACCGGGAATTCCAAGGGGGTGTGAGCAGCAGGTGTTGGTCCACATGTCGGGGAAGGTGATCTTCTCGGTGGCGCGCTGTTGGAGCAGAAGACGCTTATTGGAGTCGAAAAGGAAAACCGAGAAGGCGCGGTGAAGAAGACCCTTGTCGATGTTGGTCATCAAATGGCCTATGCAGAGGCAACTGTAAGTGTTTTATCTCGAATGTTGTGTCCGCCACTACCCCTCCATTCTGTACATCCGTGGGTGATTATGGGGGGTGCAGAACGTACAGATCTTCTTGCTAGCGCTTCCAATCGGGCGGTCATTGTTATCCAAAACAATGCAGACCTCATCCATCAGACGGACCTGCTCTTCATCGTAGCCCTCAAGCTCGCTGCCGCGGGCAGTGTTTGTTTGGCTTGTGGGGAGGATTTCACGGGCGAGCGATGTATCGACCTCGGGAAAGAGAGTGGCGACATTTTCCGCCGTGATCTCAGGCGGACTTGTGATTGTCGTGGTTGCGCTCATTTTGGCTGAAAAGTGAAGTTGAAAGAAAGTAAGTAGTATGAATCCCAACAGAAAGAAATCAAAGGAAATGCGGGGCTGGGGTTAAAGGCGGCAAAGATCGGCAAATTTGCAACTCTCCACTGTTTACCTTCATCGGGAAATTCAAGGGAACTTCCAGCCGACACCAAGACCCTTGGAAGTGGGCTGTCTATACGCATGAGATTATGTTGTACACAAATTGGCTATATAATGCTCAAAAATTGCATTCAAGGCTAGACCTATCTGTATGCGAATATCAAAAGCCACACCAGTTCACACTACCAAGCCATCATGGGCGTCAAGATAGCACCTTGATCACTTCACTTCAAGGAGACTAGTCAGCTTCTCCAATTCTGCAACTTCCTCTGGCCCCAGAAGGCCCAACTTCTCCCGCCGAGTTGGCGCATTTGGATCAAATACAGGCTTCTCAGCGAGCGAAGTCACGCGGGTCCCGTGTCTAGGCTGGGATCCCTCATAATCCCAGCTTGCGTTATGGATCGTGATGCTATTGAAGAATAAGCTTCAAATCCAAGAAGTTTGTTTCTCAGGGTATTGACTGACCGGTTATCCCATAATGCACTCGTGCGTGGACTCCATTTAAACCGAACCTGGATATCAGGGTTCTTCTCATAAACGTCGTATAGGTATCCCAGAATCACATCACTTTCGGCCTTGTCAAGCCCAACGATTCGGTCTGTCATCGCCCGGTTTACCCACAGTGCCTTCCATCCTGTAGCCGGATGAACACGGACAATAGGGTGCTCGCGCTCTACATATTGAGGGCCTGCTTCCGGGTTCTTACGGTCGAGGTATGGGTGAGCTGAGCGGTAGATGGCAGTCCTCCCATCGATCAGCTTTCGGAATAATGGCGACAGCTTCTCGTATGCGGCGTATCCACTCGCCCAGAGGGTATCGCCTCCGATTGTCGGCACAGTATCGTTGTGGAGATGGGTCACTCCAGCGGGCTGTCTCTCGTGCACGAGATCGCTATGCCATCGAGACGCTCCTCCCGGCCGACGGAAGCTCGCTGGTCGCTCTGTTTCCTGCAATGCTGGCCAAATTACGCTCACGCCGGGAACGCCAGGGACATGGGGCACTTGAGGCTAAAAAGAGAAAAATAGTTGGTGATTGGCACATGGATTCGCTGGATTGAATAAAACATACATGAATCTCAATCTCCCCGAACCACTCTCCCAGTTTCTTCTGTTGCTGAGGAGTAATATCCTGGTCCCGGAAGAAGACAACGCTTCGCTCGGCAATCAACAAACCTAGTTCATCCTTCTGCTGGTCTGTCAAGTCCTTCAGTTGCAACCCGACGATTTCAGTACCAATGTGTCTAGTCAACGGAATCACTTCCTTGGCTGCGGATAGAAGTGCTTTCTTCTCGGGATCGGCTCGGCTGCCGGGGTCTACGTGGACGCGATCATAGTTCCGCACGTTGTAAACATCGTCAACATAGAGAGGACGAGATGGGCGGTACGGGTAGCCGTCACTGAGATCAATCCCAGCCTTTTCTAAGCGTTCTCGTGCAGGCCCGGGAAGACCAAGAGTGTCCTTCTTGGGCACTGCGACGTCAACGATACGTGAATCAATTGGGGCGGGAGCCATGATGATAGAATAATGTTTGGAATTTTATAACCTCTATTAGCTCTAATATCAGTCCTGTACGGGGTACTATATACATATTTTAGAAATATCGATTCCCTTATTGATCAACGTTGTACTACTGGGGTATGAGCACATCATCGTCACCAGCCATTACGCCTTTTGTGAACCACGAATGTCACTTTTAGTTATCTCCGGTTGCCATCCTCATACCCCTCTTTCACGATTCGATGTAAATTGTCCAATCTATACTTGCGATGTACTTAGTGCAAGCGGGGAACCCCCGATTTCACAATCCACGATCAAAATCACGATTATTTCTAATGTCTTGACTCTCTGCCGATTGTTCCGGTAAGCATTGCGATATATCAGCCCATGTTGTCGTTTGGTTAGGAGGGGCCATAAGTTGCGGGAACATTCCACGTAGACGCGGATAGGCAAATTATCTCTTTGTTCTTTTATTTTCGTGTAAATCATCATGAGTGAGCCTCCTCGAGTGGCAGTTATTGGGGCTGGTATCAGTGGAGTGGTCACTGCTGGGCATCTTCTGGCTGCTGGAATTGAAGTGACTGTTTTCGAGAGAAACAATGCAGCTGGTGGGGTTTGGTAAGATCGTGAATCGTCTATTTTGGTCTGGAATAATGGACTAAAATATTGTAGGCTTTATGATAAGCGTGCTCCGATTGAAGCCCAGTACCCATCACCAAGACCATCTGCTTCACAAGAATATGTAAAGGATGCGAGGGAAGGAAATGAAAGAAAGATCTTGCTTCATGCACCTCCAGGGTAAGTTTCAGCTTTATTTGTTTATTTATGTAGCAGTCGTTCTCACTATTTCCCAGGCCTTGTTATGAAAGTCTCACCAATAATGTCTCAACTCCCTTACTACGGACGACACTCAACGCATGGCCAGAAGGGACTGCTCCTTTTGTGAAGCATCATGTGCTCAAGGATTATATCCAAGATACGTCGAGCAAGGCCGGTGTTGATGATATAACCAAGTTTGGCGCCCGAGTCACCCGAGTTCATAAGGTCGGGCCAACGTGGACAGTTCACTGGAGCACTTTGAGTGAAGATCAAGATTCCGTTGAGAATGAGGAATCTGCAGTAAGTTCTCATATCGATAATATCTTCCATTTTCAATTTCAGATGTGGTTTTGACCGGATCATAGACATTTGACTCTGTCATTGTTGCCTCGGGTCATTATCATACACCTCTCGTCCCGAATATCCGGGGTCTACCTGAAGCAAAAGCTCGATGGCCCGAGAGGATCTTCCATTCAAAATCTTTCCGAAGGTCAGAAGGATTTAAAGGAAAGGTAGGAGTGAACGTATACTAGTATTGAGAGGCACTGAACTGACCAACCTACAGAATGTACTATTGCTCGGTGGAGGCGTCTCTTCTCTTGATATAGCCACTGAAATCAGTGGAACCGCAGACCACGTGTATCAAAGCACTCGAAATGGCGCCTTTGATCTCCCTGAGAGTGCACTCCCAGAAAACGCCTCAAGAATTGCCGAGGTCGAAGCATTTGAACCTTCTACATCAACATCCGCAAACAACGAGCACTTGCCCTTAACCATACATCTCAAATCTGGGGAAACCTTGCAGGATATAGATACAATCATTCTTTGTACAGGATACCAAATGGCACTTCCATTCCTCGACGAATATAACGATTACGGTTTGTCTGCCGCCGATGCAAATGACAGGGTGCTTGTTACAGATGGCACTCAAGTCCACAACTTGCATCAAGACATTTTCTACATCCCAGATCCCACGCTCGCGTTTGTCGGAATTCCTTTCTACACTGCGACATTCTCTTTATTCGAGTTCCAAGCTATCGCCGTGGCAGCCTTCTTGTCTGGAGTTGCGCAGCTTCCATCTACTACGACTCTTCGGACGGAATATGAGAATCGCATTAAAGCGAAGGGGCTTGGACGGAGCTTCCATTCACTCAAGGACAGAGAGCAACCTTACGTCGAGGAGTTGATTGGATGGGTCAATACTGGAAGAGTTGAGCGTGGTTTGCCTTTGATTGAAGGTCATACTCAGACCTGGATTACAGAGAGAGCGGCTTTGAGCGAGAGACTTAAGTTGATTCTGGCAGGGAAGCTTTCTCGGGCAGATATTCTCAAAAGCCCATTGGAGGTGGGAGTGACTGCGTGATGTATTTGAGAATAGATATTGAAAGAAGATATTGTGAAAAGACCTCTTCGTAGCATTTTTAATGTAACGTCCATCATATCGACCAAGTGCATCGGATTATCCAAGAGCTACATCGTCAAATACAAACTGCCCCATAATCGGCCAACTGTTCTTGCTCCTGCGGTGAAGTCTAGTACTTGCAGTTGTATCCTGCAGGCTATGCCTCAGGCAGGTATGACGTTGCTCCTTCCCCATTGTCCTCTCTTCCTCTCTCTAGCTACAGATAGCTCAATCCATGATTTTCTCCCTTTTCGCATCCTCCGCTATTATATATCCACCTATAAAGACAGGTCATAAACCGATATCTTCATCTACGATATCAACATGAACCCACAGCTTCAACTCTAAGGGCACCCATACCTTTGCGGGTTCCTCACCCGGCCCAAGCACGTCTCTCAGTTCCGATTTGGCCTCCAAGCCGCGTATGACAAGGTCGCCGGAAAGGCCTTCCACTGGGCTAATGATAGCCTTGATGTCGCGGAGTCGGGCCTCAGACAAAGACAATGCCAAAGACAAGCAACAAAAATAACACCAACCCCCGACTTTATATCCTCGTGGATGCCTACGAAAACTCCGCCAATACGAACGAGCCCATGAAAGAGGCTGCTGAGTACCTTCCGCCTCGGCCATGGTATTAGTAAGAGGAGGACTTTTTTGGAATGTCACGAGCTTCTCCAGGTGTTCATAAACGACTACGGGTTCGTGGCCTAGTCAATTGCCATCCCAGCCGCCATAGGCACCTAGGCTATCTTGTCGAGCAAGCATGCTGATATAACAACCTCTGCGTATTTGTGTATTCAGGACACTCCCATGACCTCGGGTTATTGGTCCGCAGTGAAACCTGGCGTAAGTGATCATATGTTCCACGCTCATTACCTCTTCCTACTTATGTGTCATATGCTAATATCGATACTAGGGGAAATCCGACCTGCACTGCCCAATTCGTAAACTGGTCGTTGATACGGAGCAGACTTGAGATGTTTCCTGGGTCTATGTGCTACATCTTTGATATCTGCTCTACTGTGTCGGGGGTATTCGAGGCCCAAAATGGGATGGAAGTTTAATGGCAGCGATCGTCTGCAAACACCGCCGCCATTACATCTCCTTCGTCAGAGCTATCAATTTTATCCACAAGCTGAGAGACCAACACTGTATAGAATAACCATGGGCATGTGATGTTAGAAAGACCAAATCGCTTGGTAAAACATTGGAAAGGAGCATTCATGTATAACATAATGTCAGTTATTTCAATCAGTTTAGAAATATGTAAACTATGTGTTTTCTGCTAAGGGGTCACCCCATCACCGAGGCGTATGACGAGCTTCACTGCACGGGTGATGGTGAGTTTCTAGCGTGGTATGGCAACATCAACACAACAAATCATTTTCAAATTCGGCAAAGTTCCGATTTGACTAAACATCCCAGATGATGTTGAAAATACTTGCAGGAATTGCGCGAACAAGTCGCCCGATAATTCGACCTGCTGTGCAGATCATCCACTTAATGCGGAGTATAACCCTGAAGCATGATTCACTGGGCTTTAAACCGGATATATCTCAATTTTTATGCTGATAAGAGCTTTAACAAGATGATCGCTAGGCTGGCCTGCCCAGTTAGTACGTCCCTAGCATTCCTCTGCTGGCAGACTTGATCGTTTATCCGGGCTATAAGAATGTTCCAAGGGCCCTAATATTTCGTTTTTCTTTTTCACGACATCACCATGTCGCTAAAATCCCCTACCAAAGCGGAAATCGATCCGGCGACGCAGATAGTTCAGAAAAAACCCAAGCGCAAATGGGTCAGCTATATTTGGGACACATTTGACAAGTCACCAGAGGAGCGTCGCTTGCTTTTCAAATTGGATTCGGCCATTTTGACCTTTGCATCATTGGGTAAGCTTATTTAAACTATTTGTCCCAGACAATGCTAAAACTTTATAGGATATTTTATCAAGTATCTGGATCAGATCAATATCAACAATGCATTTGTCTCTGGAATGTATGGTACCACATTGATGCTTTAATCTAGAGAGTTTGATATTGATAACTCACAGGAAGGAAGATTTGGGAATGTACGGCAACGAACTCAACTATATGCAGACATGCTGGACTATCGGCTACGTTATTGGAGAAATTCCCAGCAATATACTCCTAACTCGCATCAAGCCGCGATATTGGATTCCAGCTATGGAGGTAAGAGCCTTCGGTTTTTTCTTTTCTTTTTGCGCGAGAGCTGTATACTTACACCCCAATAGCTTCTCTGGACGGTTCTCACAATGTCATTATCCCGGTGTAACACCCCTACTCAGTTCTACGTTCTCAGGTTCTTCGTTGGTATGCAAGCACAACCTAACAAAACTCACTCTATTATAGTAGGTTATTAACCTTTTACCACGATAGGTCTCGCTGAAAGTACTTTCTATCCCGGAATGCAGTACATCATCGGCTCATGGTACCGGAAAGACGAGTTAGCAAAACGGTCATGCATTTTTCACACCAGCAGCGGAATTGCCAGTATGTTTTCTGGATATCTTATGGACGCGGTTTACCACCTCGGAGGACGAGGGGGTTTCAAGGGCTGGCAATGGTAAGAAAACTGGAGAGTCTCGGCATTTGGTCATATACTAACTAGCATCCAGGCTATTTATTATCGATGGGGTTATTTCCCTGCCCGTGGCTATTAGTGGATTCTTTATTCTTCCTGACGTGCCTGAGATCTCTAATCCATGGTATCTCAGCGAAGAGGCGAGTTTACTATTCCAAACCTTTGCGTTCTATGCACATTCTAACATCAAAGTAGGAGGTCAATCTCACCCAAACGCGAATGAAATTAGAAGGGAGAAAGAACAGGGAGCCATACACAAAGTCAAAGTTGAAGAAAATATTCACGTCGTGGCACATTTATCTTCTGACCTTGCTTTATATGTGAGTTGAATACCTAACCCAGAATAAAGTCCAAGGGCAAATACTCACCCATTTTAGATGTTTCAACAATGGTGCCGCTGGAAGTCAGCCTATCTTCCAACAGTGAGTATCTAGACACCACCATCATCAAGCTTATTCTGACTCCTAGAAGGTTCCTCAAAAACTCAAAAGACCCTGTTTATTCAATCAGCCAGATCAATTCGATACCAACCACAACCCCAGCGGTCCAAGTCGTGACAACCCTCGCCTACGCGTGGATATCGGATACCGTCCTGAACGGCAAGCGTTGGCCCCCGATCATCTTCGGTGCTGTGAGTATAACACCCCACAAGGAGATATAGAAAATTCTAACACTATCGCAGTGCGTCAACATCATCAGTTATGTCTCGCTCGCAGTTTGGGAAATTCCCATGGGATGGAAATGGACTTGTTACATTATCAGCGGCGCTGGATATGGACTTAGTGGTCTGTTAATGGCGTAAGTCGCATAAAATCCCGGGCTATGAAAGCGAAAATATCCTAACACAATTTCCACAGCTGGGCCCATGAGATATGCTCTGAAGATAACGAAGAGCGTTCCTTGGTTATCGGAAGCATGAATGAAATGGCTTATGTTTTCCAAGCTTGGCTGCCTCTTGTCGTATGGCAGCAAGTCGACGGGCCGGAATACCGTAAGGGCTTCATCACTGTTACCGTTCTGTCTGTTATCTTGATTATCAGTACTTTCGGTTTGCGTTTCCTTCACAAAAGAGAGAAATTGAGGAAAGGGTAAGTATCTTGAAATCGTGTTATGCCTTTTAGCTTAGTGTCTATTGCTAACAGAGGTTATGGTTATAGGAATCAGACCGACGAGGCAGAGAGGGAGGATCAACTCTCGGATTCCCCAGGAATAACGCCTATTGAGACGAAGCCTACCAAATCTTAAGATAGGTGAAGTGGTTGATTCATACTTCCTAAAAGACGGGTATAACAAAGAATAGACCGCAGATAGATTCGGCAGGTAAAGAATACACGGAAGTCCCCTCAGTTCTTCGGAAATTTCTACAGTAACCATTTCGAACAGAGAAATATCATCAAAACTTGAGATTTTTCTGTTGTCGACCTGAAAGGTAGCCCGTAGTCCATGTACAATGAATGTGTTAGTCTAAAATATATGATAGCGAGTTTTGATAAACTTAGCATTAAGCAAGCAGCTATTCATTCTTTTTCCAACCGGTTTTCACAGTTGCATCAGACATGTTCTTAGATATGTAATTTCCTTGTTCGACCCTGTACTCCGTGCTCCGACTCCGTACGGAGTACTCCGTATGAAACTAACCATTGCAGTGTGCGAACTATTTAATGTGATGAGTCGTAGTAGCTCGTGTGATATGTGACCAAGGAACACCAATGCCAATATTCTTGCGCAAGATCACCCAATCAGATATCCAATTCTGTCAGGACCTTGAGACAAAAGCTCAGTAATCCAGCCCCATACGTTGTAGACTTCCGATGACGTTTATCGATCTGACTTATAATCGGGATTACCCTTGCATATCCGATGCTAGCATAGATCTCCAATCAACAGAGATGAGAGCGTCCAACTTGGAATATACCCAGTATTTCGAATATTCAAATATGAACTCAGGGGTAGATTATACGAACAAATCGATAGGTTAGGCTCGGCACCTGTGTGCCGATTGCAAAGCCGTTGGCAGTAGTGTTAGTGGCGCTGCGTACTAGTGATGGATAACTGGGCACAGTCCCCAGATGAAGTAAGAGCGACAAATTACAAGATTGTGATAGCCCTTTTGAAATTGGGAGCCCCATCACAAAAACATTGAGACGGACAAGGATTTCTTTGTTCCTATTCCTGGTTTTGCCCCTAGTTCATTGCGGATCCGGAATACGGAGTACAGAGGGTATACTCCGTACTCCGTAGAGATCAGCATTCCCTTTAGGCAATATTATTAAGCCTGGGTGGTTCCTTTTTTCCTTTTTTTTAGCTTGGGGCCATAGCTCCTTGGAAATCATAGGGATCTGCAAAATTGGATGGCATGGGAGTATTGTGCCGAGACAGCTTTCCATCAGCTATATCTACCTAATCAACGTACTTTTTTTTTTTGCTTTGCTCAATACGATCATCACCTCTTTCGGGTCAAACAGGAAAGTGGTTGCCGATAGTGTACTAAGTGCAAACGCCTCACCTCCTAGCTACTCGGAGAGCCTATCGTGCTAGATAATTCGGGCCCACTTGTAAAAAGTCTCAGGGGCAAGGATCAGGTCGGCTACTCCGATATTTGAACATTGGAAATCCTACGGAGTATATTGGGCAGTTATTCGGATGTAGTTTATGATCACGGACCATTTTCCAGATAGGCGAACAGACGCGATGTCTCCTGCGCGGCTGCACCGGAGGCACAATTCCAAATGGTCGAGTGTCCCTTGTCTCCACTTAAGACGACTAGCTTCAAGAAGCAGTGGAGATAGCGGGGTGAAATTGAGGATTGGACAGTAAAATGATGATTTGTTATTGTTGAAAGGGCAATTGAACATACGAGAATGGATTCCCACTATATTTTCCCGTGGCGTGTGTGACTGAGCAAGGATTAATAAATTGCAGGAAGAGGTCAGGGCTGGGTCAGTGAGACATACCCTGTGATAACTGAGAGGCCTTTGAATTCGCGCTTTTTCCTCGGGATTTGCAAATTAGAGAAGAGGAAGGTAATGGCGTTCTTATGAGCACTAAGAGAGTTAGAGTTGTTTCACAGTTTCCCTTCAAAGATCGTCGAGTGAATGTCGAAGATCCCTCTCTGTTTTAGCGTGTGATTCGGCGTTCTTAGGTGGAGCGCGGCAAGAGTCGAGATCCAACGGGCCTCGGGGAGTCGGAGAGGGGGGGAGAAGGGGGGGATTTTTGGAGTCGGACGAGTTCCCTTGGAGTTCTGGTGGATTTCTCTTCTCGAGAGTGGAAATAAGTGCAATTTCCACGCAATTAACAATGCCCATTGGTCTCCAGCGAGTCGCTGTTAGTCTGAAGTCAACCCGCAGACACAATATGTATGTTCTACTCCGTACATACAAAAGATCCTGATCTTCAGTCCAATCCCTGACCTCAAAGTCTTAATTGAGCCAGAAGTGCGGTGATACTGGAGGTTAGTACATAACCGATATTCCTGTTACCCGCGCGCCAGCTCATGCGGTTGCATGCAAATGATATCACATTCAAAATGGGAAATATGTACGGGGTAATATATCAAGATATAGCCAAATGAAATGAATTGAACCAATGCAAAAAAAAAACAAGACACCATCTGCAGTCCAATAATTCAAAATTCCAACCGAAATGCATCGTATAACAGTTCAACAACGCCAAGGAAATGGGGCTTCATGCTATGTGAGATATGTGAATACTAATAGGAATCTCGCATCTCGTAAAGCCCAGTAGATAAAATCAAAAATGCAAATTCAAAGTGGCCCTGACCAGCAGATCCCATAATGGCAAAACCATGCAACCCGTAAGAATCATAGCCAAAGTGGACGATATTTCCCTCCGATATTCATTTAGACATGCAGACATGGGATTAGCTGCCTGTGCTGCTAACTAGCCGAGTGACCGTGGTTCGATGCTCGTTGGCGCTGCCTGGGAACAAGCGAAGATGGCTCAGCGTGGCCTGTAGACTTCGCAGCGTTGCGCTTCTCTCCGCAATCATGTCTATATTCCTCATATCAGCACACAAGTACACATTCAACGATGAAACATATCCTGGGACCTTACCTAGCCAGACTATCCTGCCGACTGAAACGCCGGTCGCAAGAGTCACAGCTGTACTTCCGAAGCCCGAGATGAACCTAGTGCCTGAATTAGTGTCTGTTATTGATTCTGTTGCTCTCCCTACTCACGGTGTTCATGTGTCTTTTAAGATCTGAGCTTCGCCCAAAGGTTTTGTGGCATTCATCGCATGGATAGTTGTTCTTCCATTCGGGGTTGTGCATCTTCTGGTGCTCCTTACAGTTGGAGCGTCGGGTAAATTTGGCGCCACAAATGGGACATTCCAGGCCACTGGCAGAAACTAGTCTGTCATTTGATGCGCCGCGCTCTCTTTTGCTCGAATTTGTGATACCATCGGCGGTTCCATCGGAAGATGTTTGTGGTTGAGACACGACTTGCCCAGTGTTGATGGAGGATCTGTCGTATCCAATCTCCTCTCCCATCGCCCCAAGGTAGGAAACGTTGTTGATTGGCAATAGGGGCATCGTGGAGGAGATACACGCATCCGGAAACACACTCTGGCCCCATTGTCCTGCCACTCCGTTCGCTACAGTGACTGGAGTAACATCCGATGGCGTTGTCGGTCCCGAGCAAGGCGTGTGCATCCAAATATCGGTCATTTGGCCTGGGAAGACATTATTTCCAGGGACAACCTCCATGGTAGAGTTGTAACTGGGGGATGCGCTCATCGCCGGGGGGCTGTAGAACCCCAGTGAAGTCTCTGAAGTACTGTTGATGAATCCGTTGTAAACTGGTGGATAACATGTTCCGCTGGAGTAGTCGTCATAGGTTAAAGCGAAAGTGGGAGTTGGCGCTCCAGGAACTAGTTGTGATGGCAGTGTAGGCGTGGGAGGGAAGACCCTCAGTTGACCGAATGCATTCTCGATTTCGCAGCGGGAAATCCCAAGACCAATAGGGGAAACGCCTCGCTGGGACGAGGTCGAGACGGGAGAAGAGTATACCGAGGATGTTTCGCGAGACCGTGTATCCTCTCTTCGCGGGGATGTGATTGAGGTGGGATGAACTAAATTCTGATTCATGTTGGCGTAGAGAGACCGAATCCAATAAAAAATAAAGAAGTGTATTCCCATCAAATAACCAACCAAAGGGCTAGTCTATATCTGAGTAAACAAAGGGCGATGAATGAAAGTATATATAGTAAATGCTTTTGAGTCAACAGCTTCGCTGTTGGTGATTGACAGTGGCGGCATACATCGGTGGCTGAGAGGAGAGTAGTGGATAGGGTATGAATTCATTGGAGAAGAACTTGCGCCGCATCGACACCGACAATTGTTGAAGATTCAACGACTTGACGCCGTAATAGACAAGGCAGATTTGGAGAGGAAAGGGTCTGTAATTGCGGTGGAAGAGAAATTCGGGTGGGGGGGCATTAAGGCCCGGGGGTAGGGTAATCCGGGCGAGATCGATGGCAGTCCAGGTCTGGCATATGTGCACTCATAGAGGGTTAGCCCCGGAAAGATCAAGATATACGACTATGTCATAGGCATCTAGGGCAAATTATTGCATTTAAAGCCTAGTTTCGGGCACTTTTAGAGATCGTAATGCCCTGTAAGAACTGCTAGGGACATCCATGGATAAAGCGAGATATGACGATGCATAACGGCGGCTGTTGGGTTTGTCTGGAAAAGGCTAACCATCCCTTTCACCACCGTTGGGCTGGTCTGCCCAACCGAGACGTGTCCCATGCAGGTAGTAGCCATACAGAAACATTAGCAGAACCCGAGTCTCTGGATCGGCTTGGCGAGGTGCATTGGTGTGTCGAGGGCCTGTTGACCATGAGCACAGCCCGCATACTGCTGAGACGGGGAATGTATTTTCTGACAAAGTCCGGAATCGGATGGTGATGAAGTTGATCATTTCAGGAACAGGATTAATCATCGTGACCTCAGTAGTATGCGGGCCAGCCCTTCCGAACCGCTCGATCCCTTTGGCTTCATGTATACCATAGCGCGGAAACTCCACACTGACTCCACAGGTAATTAACGCGCCCCGGACAAACTGTAGCTCTATGAGATATCTGAATTCAACTTCAGGACCATGGTCTATTTACTCGCTTTCCCCCTCTTGTGGATCACATATGAAATTGATTGGAAAGCAGAACCAATCTTGAAACACCAGGGACAGGGGAGGGAAAGCCAAAAAAAAAAAGAAAAGAAAATAGGAAAAAAAAGCGAACCCCGAAAAAAGCCACCAAGCCTGTTTCGATTAGACTGTCAACGATATGGTTGTTCACACAAGAATATCGAACGGTTTTTTGGAAGTTGTCAAGGTGGCTCTGCCACTAAACTGAACCGAAGCCGACTAGCGCCCAGGTCCGGTCATACAGGGGCGTGCGTGGCCCTAAGCGCTAGGGTAGTGACCCCTCTACCGCGCCTTTGAATTCCGTCCACTCTCAACTCCACATATCAGAGGACAAACCACAGTGCGCAGAACAAGGTAATTTGCGCCCAGGCATGGTGTTGTAATTGTAATCATTTTTGCTGGGCAATGGCCTCCACTTGAGTTCGTAGTCGCTCAATCGTGTCGATCAGGTCCGCAAACTGCGGTACTTGCCCAAATTGCCCCATGTCTAGCTCACGCGCGGCTTGTTGATCCACACTGGGTGCTTTTCCAGGGCCTAGGCGATTTGTTTCAACTACGGAGGGGTGGTGTGGGTCCTGGCACCTTGATTCAGTCGGGTTTTCAGAAGTTCCTTGACCGCGTGCCAGCATTGGGGGATGTTGACTGTTCCGTCGTTTGGAGTGTCGCCATTTAGACTCGTACGCCCATATCAATGCAACAAACGGGAGGTGGGTGGCTCGAAGCAAGACAATGCGAACGCGGCGAACTGTTCCGGCAGAGAGAAAAAGCCGCATGGGGCGGATACAGAGGAGGGGAATAAGATTCTGCTGAGTGTTAGCTTGGAAATATTCCAGAACATACAAAGAAAGATTTAATTCAAGGATCAGACGCTAACTGACCAGGGGTGGCATGAAGTATGTCAGTCGTCGAGAATTGCTGCTTTCTAGGACATAAATGGCCAATCTGATTGGCTTGTCAGTCCAAATGGAATTTTCCATGGGGCAGTGCCAAATTTCAGACAAGCAGGGGTGTCTGTATACTTACTGGAAAAGATATTCTTCTCGGGCATGGCGCATCACCTATCACAAAAAATAGAATTAATCAGCCACGCAACTATACCTAGTAAACCGTATTTACTTACCCCTTCAAGGCTCATGCTCATCAAACTGATCAAGGATGATAGGATGAGAGTGTTGGTCATGAGGGCGAAAGTAAGCCTATAAGTCATTCCAACTGTCAGTATCTTTTGCATACATCTTCTTGTAAAAGAAACCACTGCGTGGAAGTTGTAGCAGATCCCCGTGTGCTAATGGTGCCCAAAAAAAAGCATGCAACCGGACGTCACTTGCATATTGGAACGTGATCAAAAGCACATGCGACTCTTTTTTTCAAGGGGCGCAATAAAATCAAAGAAAAGTCAGGGAACTCACATCAAGCCATAGCCGAAGATGGGGGAGATCTAAAAAATTAGCGTGTAAGTCAACTTAACGCGATAGCCAACCATTTTGCCAATATTCCGGGATAATGCGATTTGAGCTGCAGGACAGCCGCCTGGTGCGCAGACTTACCTCAGACGCGGTGTCCTATCATCCAATCAATTCAGCCACTGTCAGTGCACAGTTTCCTAAAAAGGAAAGGAATATGAAACCCACTAATCCAAGAACACTCGATCTGCCTCAAATGGTCAGTCAAAAAGAAAAAAGCGGTCACCACAGGGATTATTTCACCGTACCCAAAGAACACTTTCACTAACAAATGTGACATTGTGCTGAGCGACAAGCGGTCACGGGCAAGCATGGTAAATGTGGTTAAGAACCCTGCAGGGGTTCAGCAATTCGCCCCGACATGCTTCACTTGTATAGGGCTGTTTTGCTTAGCCACACTTACCAACATACAATACTACCACCACCGGGAAAAATCTGAAGAATGCTTTCGTCTGAAACACATCGTCAATCAGCCTTGGGTCCCAAAGCCACCTGAGCAAAGAGTTAGGGGGAAACCACACCATCTCTTTCAATACCGGTATCTATCCATAGCCAAAATTAGTCAATCCTTTTCTAGAATAATTATGTTTCCTGCAGGATCCACTTACTAGACTGCCGAAGTATGAATTCAAGCTCACAAGGGAGCAGATCCTGTTCATTCCGTGTCAGCCCTGTGGCCGAGGTGCATATCCCAGGAGTAGCCATGCCTGGGTACAAGAAACAGAGCCTCAAGCGAGAGAATGTCGAATGAGAGCTCAATAATAGGGTTGTCGCCCTTCGCTAGCCCGATAACTCCTGCGGCGTCCTCATTAGTCGCACCATTGACACAAATGACCTGCGAGCAACGAGCCGCAAGGCGGATTGAGTACTCAGTGACTCACTTGTTATGACAAATGCCATTCCAACACCAATAATGCTCAAGTTCCAGAGACTCCAGAAGTCCATTTGGTAGAAAATGACTCCGGCATCAATGATTCCACTCAATTCATCGTACGCAAAAGCGACGATCCACACATACATCACCGCCTCGAAGATGCCGACGGCCTCTTGCCTCCTCTCTACTAGGACTGCGTAGTAGAGAAAGAGGAAAGATATGAAGAATGCTGCTTCAAAAATTTTCCGGTACAGAGGTACTCTCAGGCGTGAATATGGATCAGCCGTTCTGATGGAAGAAAATTGTCAGTATCTCTGCAAGACTATTGCTTGTCGTGTCTAACCTTGTGTTAAAAATATGAGGTTTCTTGGTTGAATTTACTGTCAGAGAATCCCAAAAAACGATCTCGCCCTTCCAAATACCGTCGACCACCCTCTGAACAACTCGCTGGCTCAGGAATCTCTTTGCATGGGCAATCGTTGCAATTTCCAGTGCATTCAATCCAAAAAATTGGGAGTATCTCCGGGCAGCATAGGTCTCCTCATGTCGGTGTGTATCTTGCGAGGCTCCAGATAACAGAGTCTCTGTCGTCTTCCTGCCAAAAAGACGATAAAAAGAAGAGGAGTTTGGCAAGAGAGGAGTGGCCTCGCTTTCCGTCTGGCTTGTATCACCTTGGACAGATGCCAGGCCAGAGTTACCTGCTTCGGATTCAATGATATTTGCCGAACCGCGCCGCGGTGTTGGTAGCTCTTCTAACAAAAACTCAATTGTCTCGCGCTGATTCAGGTGACACAGGAATTGCCAGGCAACAAATTCGCAGGCTGCACCACGGCTCTCATTGAGTCCCCAGTCATCCTCGGTAGCAGTGGTGAAGTCCCATTTCAGAATCCTGGATTTGTTAATCAGTCCAGTTCCAGCGTCCTCTTTATGGTGAACTTACATCAATGCCACAATGATGAAGGGATTATGAGTATCATCCGCCAAGGCATGGACCAGTTGTCTAAGACGGTGCCCTTGGGATCCGTACAGCATTTGTTCAAATGTGTAAGCCATATCACCCACGGCCATGCTAATGAAGCTACAGGGGGTTTCGTTAACTCTGCTTAATCAAGAAGGCAGACAAAACTTACTTGAACAGCTTGGGAAGAACATCGAATAGCGGCTCATCGGTTTCGATCACCGGAATTTCCGTATGATCCATGTGTGTATCCATCTGGAGAATGACCCCAGGATTAGATTTTCAATAAATTTGGCTGTTTGTTTTTGTTCTCCTTTTTTTAACCTAGCGTATCTCCCTTCGGGGATAGGGCAGAACTGCAAGTATCAAGACCGAGATATCGATGAAAAGTCCATATTGTTTGATCGGTGGGGGTTAAATTGGCCACAAATAGCAATGTAATAATGACCTCTGTCGGTTTAATATAAAATAATTCACAATATTTAATATGAACAGGAAGAATTGCAAGAGGGAAAGGTGACGAGCTGAAAGTTGTCGACGACAATCTCGCTGACCGCCTTGTGCACGTGTCGACGCGTCCAGTGACTTCATCGGCTTCAACCCGACGTTCCTTATCGCATAGCTCTCCCCAGTCATCTCCATCTAATTTACTCAATCTCTGACTCTGACTACCCACCATCAGATCTCCAACGGGGAGATGAGGGGCAGTCGACACCATGGGACAAGGCTACTCCCTCACAACCCTGTCCGCGGGGTCGGCGGGGATCGATGTGCCTGAATTAGCTGACCTGGTGTATGAGAAGTCGATGGGGGGTGGCAGATTCATGAAAAGCATTCGCGCTCGGCAGCCAAATGGTCTGGTGTTCATCAAGGTTATCATGAAACCGTTCCCAACCATGGAACTGGAGCCATATATCAAAAACATCACGAGTATGTTTGGATCCTTTTCACTATTTCAAACTTCTAATGTCCATGTCCACATCAGGGGAGCGAAGGCTGTTGTCGGATGTACCAAATGCGCTAAGCTACCAGCGGATTCTTGAGACTGCCACGAGTGGATACCTTGTGCGCCAGTACATCCACAGCTCTCTCTACGATCGAATGAGGTAAGTCTGTCGCAGCTGTTGCCAGCGAACCAAGCCTGACATTGATATAGCACACGGCCTTTTCTAGAGCATATTGAGAAAAAGTGGATTGCCTTCCAGCTGTTGTGTGCTCTTCGAGATTGCCATTCACTAGATGTCTACCATGGTGATATCAAAACTGAAAACGTTTTGGTCACGGCCTGGAACTGGCTCTATCTTTCTGACTTCTCATCATCTTTCAAACCCACATTTCTCCCCGAGGATAATCCGGCAGATTTCTCTTTCTTCTTCGACATCTCCGGGAGACGAACCTGTTACTTAGCCCCCGAGCGGTTCTCTGTTGCCGGGGAAGAGCCCAGTGAAAGCGGCGTCAACTGGGCAATGGATATCTTCAGTGCTGGCTGTGTCATTGCGGAGCTTTTTCTTGAATCGCCGATCTTCAACCTGAGTCAAATGTACAAGTATCGCAAAGGGGAATACAGCCCAGAACACAGTCAGCTAGCAAAAATCGATGATCCGGACATTCGGGAGTTGATCCTGCATATGATCCAACTTGAGCCAGAGTCTCGGTACTCGGCGGAGGAATATCTGAATTTCTGGAAGGGCAAGGCCTTTCCAGAATACTTCTACAGTTTTCTCCACCAATACATGTCCCTCATGACCGATCCTTCCTCCGGGCGAACAGACTTGGATGCAGAATCAGCCAACCGAGGGGAGGCAGACGAACGGATTGAGCGAATTTACCTAGACTTCGATAAAGTATCTTACTTCCTCGGTTCCAACACCCGTGGCGTTGGGGCTCTATCTAATGTCCCAATTTCCAAATTGACAGGCAACACTCTCCCTGTGAGGCTTGATCTGCCAAATGGTGAAAGCCAGGTTTCAGCACCACAGTCACAGCCAGATGAGGGTGCTCTGGTTTTCCTAACACTTGTGGTATCCAACTTGCGAAATACTGCCAAGGCATCGGCTCGGATTAAGGCCTGCGATATCCTTCTTGCATTTGCGGAAAGGCTGTCAGATGAAGCAAAATTGGATCGCATTCTTCCATATATCATGGTCTTATTGACTGACCGGACCGATGCTGTCAAGGTTGCTGCGATCCGCACCTTAACCCAATTACTGAAAATGGTCCAGGTGGTCTCTCCGGTCAATGCCTATCTGTTCTCCGAATACATATTCCCAAGGCTCCAGCCATTCGTTGCTAGCTCCAACAGCAAGTCAAGCGCCATGGTGCGTGCGGCATATGCCTCATGCATTGCGTCTTTGGCCCAGTCATCTTTGAGATTTTTGGACATGATCCAAGCATTGCGTTCCGATACCCGTTTGGCTGCGTTGATCCCGGTCGGCTTTGAGCCTCGATGGTCTGAGGATGCGACTTATCACAATCTCTATGATGTGGCTCGGATCGATCTTCTAGAATATTTCGAGGTTCACACAAAAATGCTGTTGACAGACACCGATGCATCAGTTCGGCGGGCCTTTCTGGGCTCTGTCTCCAGCCTCTGTGTGTTTTTCGGCAATCTCAGAGCAAACGAGGTTGTTCTCAGCCATTTGAATACCTATTTGAACGATCCAGACTGGATTTTAAAATGCGCCTTTTTCGAGGCTGTCATCGGCGTCGCCGCCTATGTAGGGAGCCTGAATCTGGAGCTATACATATTGCCGCTGATGGTTCAGTCCATGACTGAGCCTGAGGAATTCGTTGTTGAAAGGGTGATCCGATCTCTAGCAACTATGGCTGACTTAGGCTTATTCCAGCGATCAACAACGTGGGATCTCCTAAACACGACTGTTGGATTTTTGGGCCATCCGAACATCTGGATTCGGGAGGCAGCAGTCAAGTTCGTGGTTAATTCCGCCAAATTTTTATCAATAGCGGATGTTCATTCCATCCTGACGCCCATTATCCGGCCTTTCCTCAAGATCAAAATTGTTGTGTTTTCGGACACCCAAATACTCGATGCACTCAAACGGCCAATGTCGAGAAGTGTATACGAAATGGCCTTTCTCTGGGCTTCAAAATCAGAGAAAGGTGTTTTCTGGAAGTCGCCAAGTCGCGATGGCATGTTCAGCTTGTCTGAGCCTGGATCATTCAGTCCCCGCGTGGGTCAACGGAATCATTCCTTTAATATGGCCGCTCAATCAAGAAATGACGAGGACGAACAATGGCTTAGTCGGTTGCGAAACCTTGGGATGGGCCCCGAGGATGAGTTCAAGCTTCTCGCACTCAAAGACTATATTTGGAGAGTCTCATTACGCCAATCGAGAGAAACTGATGTCCATTCAAGGCCACCCTTGAACGACATTGTCAGTTTGACACAACATGGAGTAAAGCCCCAGACTGTGTTCTTTGATAAGGAAATCAAAGATCAGTCGCGAGCAATATCCTCAGACGTAAACGATGGCACCGCGGAGGATCCAAGACCGAGAACAATCGCAGATGCTTTGCTTGACGCTTCTACAACCATTGAGCGAATGCCCAGTGCTCATCGCAAGCACTTGCGGTCGAAAAGCCAACTTTCGAAAGAGACAAGACGTGCCTCGCTTGTTCCTATCTTGGACGGAAATGATACTTCTTCGTTATCTTCGTCTCCAGTGGCATCATCGCCTGCCGGAGGACCTGCGTCTCGTCCATTGTCCCCTCCGAACTTCCATAATGATCAGAGGGTTTCCAGTCGTCGACCGAGCCCTGGAAAAGACGGCCCGTTGACATCAACTAACGCAGACACTAGAAGTATATCTGATCGTGTACATAAAAAGTCTAGCGCGATGAGTTTGTTGAGTCGCAAAGACACTGCCAAGGCCGACGCTGAAACGGGCACAAGCTCCGCAAACGCCTTCGGAAAGGTAGACGCACCGGTCCAAAGAGGAGGCACACCCCGACCATTAACACCATTACTCTCAAACGAGCACAAAGTAACCCCGACAATATCCCAGAAATATCGTGCCCACCATTCGTATGGGGGCAACGACCCTGCGGTTCTGCGACTTTTAGACAACGTCTTTGAGGAAAACTACCCGACAGACCTATTTGACCTAGGGCCGTATGTCAAGGAAGTTGACACCCGCCAACCGATTCGCACCGCCACTGATCAAGAGCCAAGTAAGATCTGGAAACCTGAAGGGAATCTGGTCGCAACTTTTGGCGAGCACAGTGCGCCAATCAATCGTGTCGTGGTAGCACCGGATCACTCCTTCTTTGCTACCGCATCCGACGATAGCACGGTGAAGATTTGGGATACAACTCGTCTTGAAAGGAACTTGACTCCTCGATCCCGTCAAACTCACCGTCATGCAGCAGGCTCGCGCGTGAAGGCTTTGACCTTTGTTGAGAATACCTACACTTTTGTCAGTGCGGCCACTGATGGCAGCGTTCATGCCGTTCGAGTCGACTATCAGAAAGTCAGTCAGACAGCCGTCCGATATGGCAAGCTTCAAATTGTTCGCGAATATCAGCTTCCCATAGCTGAAGACGGATCACCCGAATACGCGGTCTGGATGGAGCACTTCCGTGATGAAGGACAATCCACCTTGATTATTGCGACCAACACTTGTCGCATCGTTGCGTTGGACATGAAAACCATGCTGCCGATCTACACGCTAGAAAACCCAGTTCACCATGGAACTCTGACTACATTCTGTTGCGACCGCAGGCATCACTGGCTACTGGTCGGCACAACTCATGGGATCCTCGACCTATGGGATCTCCGCTTCCGCGTGCGGTTGAAGGCTTGGGGTCTTCCAGGCTGGGGTGCTATCAACCGGATCCAACTACATCCCGTCAAGGCCCGCGGACGCTGGGTCTGCGTATCCAGCAGCGGCAGCCACGGCAATGAAATCACAGTGTGGGATATCGAGAAGTTCCGCTGTCGCGAGGTTTACCAAGCGACCCCACTGGGCGTCGGCAACAATGGTCCCAATGGCGCTCATCATCCTTCCCGCGCCCCTCACGCCTATCCGACCCCTGTCATGCCAAGCGATTACGAAGCGTGGCGGGTCGATGGCGACCGGCCCGAAGGGATGCTGAGTCGCTTTGCGGCGAACGGCCCTGAGCCTGGTACTCCGTCTTCCAACAATCCGGCCGGCGATCGACTCGGCATCTGGGCGTTTGCGGTCGGCCTCAATGCCCCTGGCGAGGACAAGGACTCTAGCACGAAATGTGGGTACATCATTTCCGCAGGATGCGACCGGAAGATCCGGTTCTGGGATCTGGCGCGACCGGATCTCTCCTCGATAGTCAGTGGGTTAGACGTCGTCTCAGACGGTAGTGCCAGTGGCAAGCCACACTATGAGCAGTCCCAGCCCAGTCCCAGTCTCCTGGTTACCACCGAGCACCTCCCTACTTCGTCCAGCACTGGCAGTTCTCGAGATACTAGGAAGGGAGCTAGCCCGAGGCCGCCGCGTAGTACCGTCATCAGCCTGCAGCAGCAGATGTTATTGAAGAGCCATCTGGATATTATTCAAGATGTGGCGGTTTTGCGTGTGCCGTACGGTATGGTTGTGAGCGTCGACCGTGCTGGTATGGTGTACATCTTTTCTTAGGCTTTCTGAGGCATTCGATTTATGATATTCTCAGCGGAACTTGAATCATATCTGGAATTTCACTCCACATAACATTAACTATTCTCAAATTGTATTTTAGGCGTTCGGAGAGTACGAATACATACTCCGTACTCAGTGCAATAAATGAATTGCATCCGATGTCTTTTTATAGATATTCTTCAAGACAGGCGTGATTTGAAATGGAATAGCGAAATATATATTAAGTGGCTGCTCCGCACTCCGTACGGTGCATACATACCTCACCCCTACCCCTATCGCGGATAATAATAACAAACAGGTTAAACCAGCGAAGCTATTGATGGCCCACAGGACTCGATTATATTGTGCAATATACGAATCCTAGAACATCCCATTTATATATGGAGTACCCCAGTACCAAACTCCATCCTCGAGATTAAACCCTCTTGCCACCGGGTACCTGGGCGCAGTGTACCGGATACCTCGGCCCATGCGGGTTCCAGTTGCATGAACTAAGGTACCGGGTACGACGACTATTGGTACTAGAATTTTGCTGGGGAGAGCTGTGGTGTGGGTCCTTGCGCGAAACACTGGGTGGATCGGGTTGTGGATCGACAGGCCAGGGACCCTAATGAGGCTTAGAGTAAGGAGAACGGAGAATTCTGGAAAGACTTCGGAGGTAATTCCAGGAGATTTATATTGTACGGAGTGGTACGGAGGACTCCGTATGGAGTAAGCACTATTAATTAAGCTTGCATGAGGTTTCTGTTTACAACTCGTTTCTGTTTATAAATGTTCAATCTAGGGCTACCGAGTAGAGACGAATGCATTGCTTATCTTCAATTAAATAGTGATAATAATAATTAAACTTGGAACGAATAATTCTGACGGGAGAGATAAAAAATAAGATTGTAAATTTACCAGCTTGGAACAGAGAACTTGCTCTATGATCTCGGACATAAGAACTCTCCGAGTTTATATTTATACACTGGAGTAATGTACAAAGTACTAACTAGTTAACTAGTTAGTTAGTACGGTGTACTTTGTACAGAATGAAAGGTGTTCGCTAGCCCTAGAGTGACCCTATGTATCCAATGGTCCATGCGGTCTTCCCATGTGCGATCTCGAGTTCGAGCCTTGAACCTTCGCCAGATCTCTACCGTTACAATGTATATACATGTACGGAGTACGGAGTAGTTCCTTACCACATGGGTCCAGAACCCTGCAAAGTCGTGCGTGAGGGGCTCATCCGGGAAATGAGATCTCCGCCAAAACTGCCAGACTGAGTAGCTCGGTAGACTTGGTAGCTTAGCTTGCCCGCTTTGACGGGCTAACACGAGTCGAGCAGAGTTTGTGAGGGGAAACGGGAAGATACTGTACATGTAGGGAAGGGAAGATGTGATGGTATAAGTATATTGTATATATTCTATATTGCATATACATATTTCTTTTTCAACATGTCAAATGTCAAATGGTTTATAATCAACATTGAAATCATTCAGGGGGGTGTCAGATTGCAGGTCAACCAAGGTTGGAAGATCGAACCGATGGGGACTGGCCAGGGGAACCGACCAATCGTATGAATTGTTCACCAGTTCGGACGGGATACCCATGGCTCACGATCTTTCAATTCGGCCTCGAACGAAAATGAAATCAAATGATCGGCACAAGTAGGGATATCTAGATATTTGTCAAGTGGTCAAGTGGTCAAGTGAAGTGGTTGGAGTCTCCTAACTGCTCGCAGGCGAAACATAGGAGCTTTGCATATATATGGTCGCACTGCAGATTACTGAGGGAGAGGATATGAGTACATGTATCAAAGTTTTGTGAAAAGTGAAACGAATAGATCAGAAAGAATAGGCGAAACTTTAACGTTGCCAACGGTGTTGGATGTATCATTTCTATCTCTGAGTGCTTAGTATTCTGTACTCCGTAGAATACAACATAATAATATTATACCCTGAAGAAAAAAAAAAAGACAAAATGAAAAAGATGAAACAATAAATACATGTACATAGATACGTAAATAAAATACCATACAGCTAATTAAAGTGGAGAGAACTCCTTTGGCCTTAGTCTTTAATTGCCTTCTTCTTCTTCTCCTATTTGCCCTTCCCCCTAAACCCTCCTCTTTCTTGGGTTCTTGTTTTTCAATTGCATTTGTATCCATATGGCGGGTGTGTTCTCGAGACTTGAGTATTATTGAAGTTTCATCCGGACTTCTCACACTCTCTAAATATCTCCCCGACTTTCCTTGATCTTGGACCCTCATTTCGAACTGCACTGAAGCAGTGCTTTCATTCCGACATTCCTCATATTTCCAAGGAATTCCAACCCCGGACTCTCCACTCTCCAACTCTACTCGACATACTCGACATACTCAATCCCGATATATAAATATACATCGCAACAATGGTCCATTCTCTGCGAGATCATGGATCTTTTGTCCGGCCAGCCACTCGGGATCGGCCTACGACACGCGGCGAAGGAGAAAATTCGCTGGTCGTTCCTAGCCGCACGTCGTCGTTGCACTCGCGCATCACTCAACCTATCCCGTCCTCACTCAGCATCAAGCCCGCTCAGCGGACACCGAAAACACTCACCCATGCTTACATGGTATGCGGTGTGGGACGCGAACCTTCACAATGGGTCAAAGCGCCTGCCCCCGCCCAAGGCAAGATTGGCCACATGAAGGGAGCCGTCAGTCAATTCTGGCTGCCCGAGATTCTGGGAAGCAGCCCTCGACTAGAGCAGGACAATGAGATCGCACGAGCCCTACACTCGGCTATGCGAGCATGCTTCCCTCACGACGTGGAGATTTGCACAGGCAAGAGCCAGCCTCACTGTGCACACCACGCATTCGTGTTGCAACAGGACTCTTCTCACACTCTGTACGGTATCGCGCTGCGCGTTTGGTCCCGTGCCGATGAGAAGCGCGCGGAGACCATCCGCGAGCTGCGCAAGAAGACGGAGCCGGACTTCTACGATAACCCCGATGAGACCTACTGGATTCCTTACTGCTTGAGCTTCCTCTCCCGGTATCCCCTATACGATCTGCTAGGTGATTACCTCCGTGGCATGTGGATCCACTGGAACAAGGCTACCAACCTGTTCCACGCCGAGGAGGTCTCCCGCATCCTCAGCTTCCCGGCCCCGCGTCTCAACGACTTGGTCCGCATTGATATGAAGGATTATGCCCTGTGCTATCAGTTCCCCTCGTCGCCCACCGGCTTCCAGAACTTTGCCATGTGGCCACTGTTCACTTGTCTGTCGATCCCCAACATTGTCGGCGTGATCGAGGCTGCTGTCTCGCCTACCCGCCGCATCATTTTCGTCAGCCACTACCCGGCGATGCTGACTGTCGCTGCGGAAACCATTCGCTACTGCGTTCGCGTCTATGAGTGGAGTGGTCTGTACGTGCCCGTGGTTCACGCCCGTCACGTCAAGGAGCTGGTCCAAGAGCCCGGTCCCTACATTCTGGGTATCACTGCCGAGTGCCGGACTCTGTTCAACGCTCCCTCTGATGCCCTCGTGGTCGACCTCGATCGCAACTTTGTCCTCACATCCAGCCCGCCTAATGTGTTGAACCAGGGCCAGCGCACCAAGTTTATCAACCGCATGACCCAATCCCTGAATGGCGATGTCTCGCCTTCCGGTGTGCCCCCACACCTGCGCACTGCCTACGCTGGCGGCAAGCTCATCCCGGCTGGCCAGATCATCGTCATGAGAGGAGAGGTCGAAAGCATTGAAGAGCCCCAATGGTGGAACCAGGATGCTGTCATGGGCGTCATGGACCATGTCTGCGAGAAGCTGGTACGTTTAATCGCCTCTCAATTGTCACTAACCACAATCAAAACTGACCTTCTATCTATTAGGGCCGCAACACCGGTATGAAGGCCATCTTCGGTGGCTCCGTCAAGAAGCCCCTCATGACCAAGGTTTCCATGCGTCACCTCAACGAGATTGTCCGTGAGCGCAACCAGTACTCTCGGGATGCCATGGAAGCTTGGCAAGACTTCATCAACCTCAAGGGCAGAATGGACACCGAGCTCAGCAAGGTCACCAAGCGCAACAACTTCTTGGTCGAGGAGCTCGAGACCTGGAAGCAGCAGTTCCTCAAGTTCCAGGCCTTTGCTGAGCAGCTCACCAAGGAGACCTCGGAGCTTAAGGTCAAGATCGAAAACCACAAGCGCGAGAGCCGTCGCCTCACTGGTCTTATTGACCAACAGAAAGATGATGTGGCTCGTCTTACTCTGCGTCTGTCTGGTACTGAGAAGCAGCGTGACGATGCTCTCGAGGCACTGGTCCTCCAGCAGGAGATTGCCGAAGAGCTCGAGCGTGAGCGCAAGCGCAACCAGAAGGAGATCTCCGCCCTCTCGCACACTAACTCAACCCTCGCCCGCGAGCGCGAAGATGCCCAGCGCGTTGTCATGCACCTGCGCAGCCTTATCAACGGCCAGAGCCACCATATGGAGCACATCGTCCGCTCCATTGGTAGCCGGGCGGAGATTACTGAAATGGTCGAGCAGGGCTACGAAGACGCCCCCGAGGAGCTCAAGGACGATGTGTCAGTTGCTGAGTCGAAGGAGTCCGTCAAGACGGCTAAGGATGTCAATGGTCACAATACTCTGGTAAATGATATGAAGCCCGAGCTAGAGCAGCATTTGCTGAACCTCGGAAAGGATCACAAGACCCTTGCGCGTCTCAGCATTACAGATGTCGCAGACCGTTACCTGCGCGACAAGACCGATGCCATTGCAGACATCATCCGCAGCATCAGCGACCAGTGCGCCGCCGCCGTCGAAGGCCTGCACCTGGCCCAGGACGCCGAGGACGACCAAGAAGCCGAGATCGCTTCCAACCTCCACCAGAACGACCGTCTCAGCTCCGACTACGACAACATGGATGGCCGCTCCACCCGCGCCCCTAGCGAGATCAGCGATGCTGACAACAGCTCTCTCCACCCGGACAACCGCCACTCCAGCATCCCCCCGACCCCGGATCTGGTCCACAACCGCTCCAGCACCTCTATGTCCATGGTCAGCAGCTCGACTTTCCCCGAACGGTCAAGTCAGCAGTATGGTCCCGGCGATATCCCGACCCGAATCGTTGAGGATGATGATGAGCACGCTCATGAGACTGAGAACGTTGACGACCAGCAGACTGAGCGCGGCACTCTGTCCAAGCAGAATAGCGAGGATCTCATGCGGCCTACTACCGCACGCGTGATCTAGATTTTCCATCAGCTTTTCAGGTTAGATGACTGAGACGATCTTGTTTGTGTTTTTTTCCCTTCTCTTCTCTGTCCATTCCTTGTTCTCCTTCTGCCTGGCGAAGCCTTTTCCCCTTTTTCTCTTTTTACTTCAACTGTGTAGTATCCTGAATACGCACATACGCTCTGGTTGTCTGGCGTATTTTCTCATTTTTCGTCGTGTCGATTATTTTTGATCTTCATTATATCCACCCGACCATCTGTGTTTTTTCTTGTCCAATAATTTATGGTCTTTTTGCCTTCCCGGGACTTGTTTTTTTTTTTTTCTCCCTCCCATTTTTTCTTTCTTTTTGCCCTGTTCTTTCCTTGAGGGATTCGTTTATTTACTATATGTCGTGCCGTCTGGGATGGAACGGCTTGATTTGTTTTGACTTGCGCTGATCTCCAAGAGAGAGCCCTCCACTTTGCACCCCCCCATCCGCACTGTCTGCGGATGATATTTCCTATTTATCTGCAGTCCTTGATCTGGATTGATCCGATCTACCAGGGTCTATATAACTCCCTGTCTTCCTCTAAAATGAATTCTGTGAATTTGAACTTTTTAAAATTGCCACAAGTTACACCCATCGTAGCTAAGCAACTTCGAAAAGGCTTATAAAATCATTCAAGTCAAATCCTCGTAGGATTCATATGTTAATCATGAATTATGTACATCACTCAAATGCAACCCAATGCCCAAGACCCATTTCAAGCCAACTTCCCCGGCACAAAAGGATGTCCAGCACTCAACCCACCACAAACCGCCCAAGCTTGTCCATTAACATAGCTACTCTCATCACTACCAAGGAAAAGCGCAACACGCGCAACCTCATCAGCAACAGCTCCCCGCTGCAACGGGTTCAACTGTCCGACCTTGCGCTCCGTACCGCGCTCCCGCGCCCGGTCAAACACCGTCTGCGTCATCCCCGTCTCAATAAGCCCAGGACAGATCGCGTTCATGCGGATACCCGACCCAGCGAGCTGGTACGAGACCGTCTGCGCGATCGATACAACTGCTGCCTTTGAGGCGGAGTAATCGGTTGAACCGGCGTTGGAGCGGAGACCTGCTACAGACGCCGTGCCGATGATCGAGCCGCTGGGGTATGGCTTCGAGGCGGAGGTTATCTTCATTGCTGGCGCCGCGTGTTTGGCTGCTAGGAAGACACTGTTTGTACCGGTTGGTTAGATTGTTTTCGTCTCGGGGACGATTATGTTTGTCTTGTTTCAGGGAGGGATGTACGTACCCGAGAGCATTTACTCGCATCGTGTTTAGGAAGCCCTCGCCGTCGATCTCGGTGAATATCTTCGGTTGGCCTACCACGCCCGCGTTCGCGAAGAAGATGTCTAGGCGGCCGTATTTGCTGATTACTTCGTCGATGACTCCGCTCAGGGCTTTTTCGTCCGCTGCGTCGAATGACCGCACGTGGACGTCTACGTTTGGGTAGAGGGACTCCATCTCCCGCTTGTGCGTGGCTAGATGGGTGTCGCTGAAGTCGCAGATGTAGACTGCTTTGGCGCCATTGTTGGCGAATTGGTGCGCGCTGGCGCGGCCGATTCCATTTGGAGAGTTTGCGCCTGGATTTGATTAGTATGGTGCTTTCAAATGGCGTTGGGGAATACTATGTACTTACCAGTCACGATTACTACCTTGTCCTTGACTCGGCTGTAGATTCGGGCGTTAGTTATGCCTAAGCTTGCAATGTATGCAATGTATGCAACGCTAGAAGCTGGCTCAACCAGAATGTAGCTATGCGCCTCAAGACTACTTACGGTCCTGCCGAATCATCGGCAACTTGACGGATCTTGGGGATATCCTCAAACGTGCCCTCGGAGGGAATGCCCTCAACGAGCTGCTTGCTCAGGGCCTGAAGACGTTGCTTTGCTGCTGCAGACATAATTGTTAAGGTTTGAGTAATCCTAAAGGGTTGCCAATAAAAAAAAGTATTGAACGCGCTAGAAAAACAGCTTCAATTGCGGCAGCTTTGTAGTTATAACAGCTCATCAGCTTTCCCCACTATGTCGGTTATGCGGAGAGCCGAGGCTCCAGGGCTACGGCAGGGTATAAAGACCAGTATGGTAAATTAGTCACGTGCAAAGAGGATAAGAATTGCATCACATGACACTTATCTGGTCACGTCATGTGCCGTAGGATAGTTATCAAAGCTGTGTTTGTGGGTTTTAGATCAACACAAATCCGTGCTCTTTGTTTCCTTATGCTTTTGTTGGTCCTAAAATAGGGTATCTAGGGTTGAAATTCATACCCGCCCCTGAAAATCACGGTCGATCTCCCTTCATTCCATCCATCACTACAGCAAGGATCGCCAAGCACGCACGACAAAGACAAGCCAAGTAGCAGAAGCTACATAAGCTAGTTGATTATTTGTCTTGTTAGCCCGGACACCATTTCCAACTCACCCAGCTCCGAAAGCTCTAAGAAAAGCCTTCATGAAGCCATTAATCAACGATTCCACCGTTCACGCCATTGCCCGGTTGTTGAGTCATGGCAGATTCCGACATCCACTCCCAGCGGCGTTCTTCGTCCCAAGCGTCAAGCGCCTCGAGCAGAAGTCGAAACGCTAAAATCGTTCGCGCCAAAATGCAAAAACGCCATTCAGGCTCCTCTAACAACACAACAACCGATTTGACCTCGTTTCCCTCGCTTTCACCGCCAGACAAATCTTCAACCCTCGCCCGTGGCCTGACGAATACAATGTTCTCTGATGAAGATGGGGCTGAATCAAATGGAGGTGGGAATGGTCGTGGGCGGAAGGCTACGCTGGCAAATTTGACGACTGGGCCGTCTCGCAAATCAGGCCGAGCTGCCCTCTTCGCCGATTCCGTCCCCACACATGATATCCCAGGCGCCCTACATTTGGCCGATGACGCGCACATTGAACGGCTGGTTGCTGGAACAGGTGCCGTGAAGATGGTGAGGCAGTTCGCTCGCGATCTAGCTCAGCGGGACGCTGAGATCTCGGCCCTCCGCCAACGCGCCGATGCAAGGGAGCGAGAGCTGAAGAGAATGCTACGCGACGTGTCTGTGTCCAACCAAGATATTGAACGTCGTCTATATCAGTTGGAGAATCCGCTGGGCGATCGTGTCTCGGATGCAGAAAGCACTCATAGTAGCGATCATGCTGGTCAAACCTATCCCGGCCTGAATGGATTGATGTCTCAAGCCATGGAAGACACCGTTGGCTCTCGGGCTCACGGTGACTCAGCAGAAGCCCAGGCCACGATTCGTGCCCAGCGGTTAGACAGTGATCCCCGAGGCAGCGGAGCCACCGACAACCGGAAGCGTCAAAGCTCGATTCGGGGCTGGCAGGAGTACCTTTTTGGCTCGACCAATACAAGTCGGAAAACCAGTCGTGCTAGTAGCATTATGAGTGATGTTGGTGAACTTGGAGAAGAAGAGGCTGAGCGTCCCCGAGTGACCAGCAATCCTACAATGCGACGCAAAGCGCTTGATGAGCAGCTATTTCAGCCCCCGGATGGCCCGGCACGAAACGGACCGGCGAACCGCATTGCTAGCATGTCCGCAAATGGCGACGATGCAAGCATTCATTCTCGGAAATCATCACGGTCTCTCGGCTCTTGGACTGTTAAGTTATTTGCTGGCAATCCCCAGTCGAGCAAAGATGCAAGTGATGCTGAGTCTATTCACAATAAACCCCAACCCAAAAGGCCGGACGGAGACCAAAGTCCTTCGTCTACACTGTCCGGCAATTCTAAAGGTTCAATGTCGGCAGTGGCTGCATTGAAGAGGATCAACAGCAATGTCGGCATCGCTACTACTGGACGATCTGCCAGTGGATCGAGAGTCCCGGGCAAAATGAACCCTCCTGCCTTGCGACGGACTGCAGCTGGCAGCGTGTCTCAGGGCTCGACGTCGGAGACTACAGATAGAGTCTCCACGAATCTTGGACCGGTCGAGATGGACGCCATTTTGCCCATGGAGTCAAAGCCTCCAACGCTCACGCCTATTTATAACAATTCACAACCGGGTGAGTTTCTCACCGACCGGTTCGGTTTCATCTATGATCAACATAGAAAGAAGCGCCAGAGAGAAGCCAATACTGCCAAGAGCAGCAATCACCGTTTGAGTATAACCGAAACTCTCGGTACTCTTCGAACTGATGCCTCGTCAGATCATGAGGATGACCACGAAGTAACAAAACTTCGGCAGGGCGCTTCCGAGGCCTCGCGTTCTCTGCCTGACTCACCAAATGACCCTGACAGCGGAGCTGTTGCCATCCGTCGCTGGCAAGACTACCTGAGGATCCCGTCCCGTCCCACAGAGCTACTGTCCCACACGCCCTCCGCAGGCCCGATTGTCTCTTTGACCACTTCAGGAGAAAATCGCTCTCATAGCTCGTCTGTTTCATATGACAAAGACGGGGCGTTGGCTGTCGGCTCTAGCGCACAACCATCGGCATCTACATCGGCTATCACGGCCGACAGCCCCGAATTCGCTGGCTTGTCATCGGATCAGCTCAAAGACACAGCCTCCAGATTCACTGTCGCAGAGATGGAGCCCGTAAAACTGTTATTGGAACAGTTGACTGATCTGCATGATACACTGCAACGCGATCGAACCGTGAGGTGGAACGAGTTCCTTCGCAAAGTGCGTGCTGAACGCCGAAAGGAGGGCGAAGCGGCAGCCGCAGCCGCAACTTCCGATCGATCTCTTGCTGCCGTTGACACGCCAGAAGTCTCCCTCGCCGATGGCGAAGTTGTAGGGATCGCGGGTCTAGGTAACAAAGGCAAGGTTGGCCGAGCGAAGTGGCGAGAATTCCGGCTGCTCGTACTCGGCGGCATCCCAGTCGCTCTTCGCGCCAAAACTTGGTCGGAATGCAGCGGGGCTTCGGCAATGCGAATTCCTGGCTACTATGATGACCTCGTGCATGGCGTTGGCGGATCGGACCCCGACCCTTCTGTTGTCGCACAAATCGACATGGATATACGTCGCACTCTTACCGATAATGTCTTCTTCCGCAAAGGGCCTGGCGTCGGCAAGCTGAAAGAGGTTCTACTTGCGTACTCGCGCCGTAATCCAGAAGTAGGCTACTGTCAGGGCATGAACCTCATCGCAGCGTCTTTGTTGCTCATCATGCCGACTGCCGAAGACGCGTTTTGGATTCTGACCTCGATGATCGAGATCATTTTGCCCCACCACTATTACGACCATGGCTTGCTCGCCTCCCGTGCCGATCAGGTAGTCTTGCGCCAGTATATCTCAGAGCTGCTTCCCAACCTCTCCGCCCACTTGGAGGAACTGGGCATTGAACTAGAAGCACTCACGTTCCAATGGTTCCTCTCTGTCTTTACAGACTGTCTCTCCGCGGAGGCATTGTATCGCGTATGGGACGTGGTCCTATGTCTCAACGTGACCAGCGCAGTCAACGGCTCCGGGTCAATTACCTCTGGTACTAAGGACAGCAATGACAAGACTGCCAAGGATACAGAAAATCTCGCCTCTGGCAGCGGAGGCGGAAGCACATTCCTATTCCAAGTTGCTCTCGCACTGCTCAAGCTCAACGAGCAGCAATTGTTGACGACCTGCTCGACGCCAGCGGCACTCTATACATACATCAACCACCAAATGACCAACCACGCGATCAGCATCGACGGCCTGATCCAAGCCAGTGAAGCACTGCGCAATGTGGTCCGCCGCGAAGATGTCGTTGCACGTCGTGCTGTTGCCCTGCAAGAAATGCGCGAATTGAGCAGCGGTGCAGGCACCGAGACCCTTACTTGATACGGAATTTTTCGTCATGGCCTTCCATTCATTTCCCCCTACATTTTTCACGCAATGCCGATACGACCTGAGCATAAGGCAAGGAGTTTTGGCTTTTCTGTTGTTTTTTCCTTTTCTCATTGCCTGGCGCTATTTCCCTCTTTATTCCTCTATTTTACTTGTTGACATAGCCCGCGATGTTCGTGTTGCCTGTCTCATACATCACCAACCCAGCATTTGAGATACCCCTGGATTTTACACTTGGGCGGCAGCACTGTTAGACTTGTTTGAATAAAATCAAAATCTTTTTCGATCATTATTATTATTCTTGTGCATTATTATGAATCCTACAATCCTGAAGTGTCTAACATGGCTGACCCCAGGGCTCTAGATTTCTCTAACAAATCCTGATCTTACACCTGGAATCGAAATGATACAAGGGACAACAAGCTGATTCGAATAATTTCTTTCATTTTCGCAAAGAAACCGCACCCCATGGGAAATGTCAAAAGCAGAACAGCCGGCATTGAAGTTAAACGACAAATCTATATCTCCACAAAAAGGTACCGCGAAGGTAAGCATCGACCAAATCACCTCACCTATTCAAACCGAAGATTATCAAAGCTCTGCTCAAACATGGCCACTCATTTAACCTGTCTCAGGTCTGGGCTGCCTCGTACCCCCCTCGAAATCAGCCAATGCCGGTCCATCAACCCTCTCCATATACCGAAGGATCTCCAACTGGTGAAGCTTGTATTCAAAAGTCTGCGCATCCGATACGCTTCTGCAAAGCTCTCCGTCGCTGCTGATAGGAGCTGTGACTGGATACGGCGCTGTAGTCATGAACCTGGCCTTCAACTGAGGCTTGAAGGTCTCTCTGGCTATTTTCATTCTTCGGCCGTCTTCCGCGCCGGTGTAGGCGTCATATTTGATGTTGGCTTGGTCCATAAGGCCTATGTACTGCTATCAGTCTTGATTCTCTGAGTTTCTTCAAGATTCTAACCACGTACGCTCCATGTGCTTGATGTAAAGACACATTCTCTGATATGTGCGTTGGAACTCGCGCTTCTTGATTGCTGCTCTGAGATTAATGTCCAGCATCCATGCAATCATTGCGCATGACAGTCCTGTCAATATCTGTCAGCTTCTTGTCTTTCAGTGTGGATGGATTATGTTTAACCTACCGTCTTTGCTGTAGCCATATTGTTCACTCAGATATGGCGCTGGAACCTTTTCCATGCGATTCACGAAATCCGGGGGAGGAGTATCTTCAGCGGCCATTTCGAGCAAAACCACTAGGAAGATCGATTCAGAAGATATTGTACGGTTGTTGAAGAAGAAGGAATTTCTTCCCTTTTTTTTTCTCTCTCATCTTCTTCTGCACTGGCCGACTCGGCCTTCTCTTTGTTCTTCCCCGGTCTATCCCAACCAGCCATTCTGACAGGAATGAAATTTCTTTGTCCTCATCAGATATTTCCAAGGCTCTGGAAAGTAAAATAACTCGGCGTTGGTGTGAAAGTCGAAATCGGGGCGATATGAAACGTTCTGTGGCCAAATTCTTTGTTCTCAAAATAGATCTTGTATACTTCAACTTGGGCGCTTTGTTCAAAATTTTAAAGCCTGCTTTCTCTGAACACATTGACTGGACCAGATAATTCAAATAGTCAATGACTCTATCTGGATTGAAAGCCGAACGTTGTCCCACTGGTACTTTTTCATGCTGCTCTTTTGGTCTATATAACACGCTTTCTCTTCTCTTCCCCAATTCCTTTGATAACACCACCTTTCTATAGTGTCTTTGACTGATCATCTCGGCAAAATGAATTACGAGCGCATGGCAGCCGAAATCCCCACTCTCTACCGGCTATCTAGGGAGTCCAAAGGTACATAGTCATGTGTCTCTATTTCTCTTGAATCCTCTAGCCCACAAGAGCTAACAAATAATCAGAGGCCGACCTCCTCAACGGTCTTCTAGGCTGGGTCCGCAACGACACCTTTGGGAAAATGGCAGAAGTCTGTGCTCTCTGGGGTGCAATCGTCCAAGCCAATAAGCATCTTGCCAAAGTCGATCGTAAGACTATGCGCTCTGCGTTATAATCACCGTTGCTAACCAAGTCGTCTCTGATCTAGGTACGCTGCTAGCGCGTACGATTGAACATGAGCACTTCAATCTCAAAGAAGTTTTGAATTCGGAGTTGAAGCAGGCCAAGGAAATGATGGCTGCCATTCCTGGTGGTAGACGTGCTACTACGGTCACTACCGATGAGGATTTCTCTCTTGCTATTAAGCGGTTGAAGTATCTTCGCGAGTACAAATAATCTGCCTGGCTTTCCCGGGTTTGGGGGATTCATAGACAGGAAGGAGAATGTGGTTTCGGGCGTTGGTTTTCCTGTGAGTTCCATATTTCAGTGAGTAATGCTGTCGTTGTTCATCTACAGCTACGTTCTCTCTTCAGATATATTAAAGCCCATTTGGTGTAGATAGTCCGCGTTCTTCTAGATAGTATGTAGGCCCAATATTTCGAGTCCAAGACCCCATTTAAGGTGCCGTAGTCCAGATGCGCTCGACCTCATCCCTCTCAAGCTCCTGGCCAAGCAACCACCCAATACCAGAAAGTGTATCGATATTCGACTTGATAGACAATTCGTGCTCAGGCCAAAGCATCCAATGAGCATGCGGCATACCGGGATAAACATCCAGACGAGTAGCGACACCCTGGTCGCGAAGAAGTTTCTCATAGATCAACCCATCATCACGCAGCGTATCCATCCCATCAACCTGCACATGAGTCGGCGGCATACCAGCAAGCGATACGTCCGAATTCAACGGCGAAAAATCAACGGACTGGAAATCTGGCTCCCACCAGCTTGTCCAGGTCTCGATATCTTTGGCATTGCAAACCGGTGAGAGAGAATTTTGCTCGCGTGACACCCATAAATGCTTATATTTCTCTGGCACAGTCTGCTCGTCCATGCAGGGCGGAATAATAGCCAGCACACCCGTCAGCGGAGGGAAGAGGTGCTCTCTCATGGCGCGATGAGCAGTAACGATTGATAAGTTTCCTCCGGCTGAGCTACCGCCAATGACGAAGCCCTTTGAGAGGTCTGCGTCTAGCGAAGAGGCATTACTAGCAAGCCATTTCACAGTATCCCAGATATCGTTGTGGGCAATGGGGAATTTGTGTTGTGGTGCTAATCGATAGGAAGGGAGAATCACTGTTGCACCGTAGAGTGCGGCTGTTGCTGTCGCCCAGGGAAGTAGTTGGATATTCGTCCCACTGAAGAACCCTCCGCCATAGATCAGGAGTACGAGCGGAGTATTGGGCTGTGCGTTAGGTGGCTTGATCACCCGGATCTCGCTTTCATAACCATCGCGCATTGGGATGGTCATCAATGTCTCGTGAGTTCCGTGTCCCGAGTACTTTTCACAAGTGGTCATTTCATTCGCTACTGAGCCTTGAAGCAAAACCTCTGGTGGGAGTGAAGACAGGTCGAGAGGGAAGTTGTTCTTTAGGATCTGCCTATTTATTAGAAATTATATGATTACTTGTTGTGAGGGCTGTCGGTTCTGCTTACCTCGTCGATCTCTGGGTCGATAACACCGAGCTGGAGGATAGCTTCCTTGGTGCTGTAAGGATCCATATTGATAAAAGGAGTTGAATTGGGAGAGGAAAAAGAGTATGGTGAAGTGAAGAGAAAGAGACTTAATGGGAAATCGTGGTCTTATTCGTAGTCTTTATAGACTCAGCTCCTTCATAAAACAATTATGAACACGAGTCATGCAGTCGACTAAATCAGGTAATGGTAACGATAACGATCTACATACTGTGGAGTTTGAAATTGATCTGAGATAAAGCCCTATAGTCTCAGTCTTGGATTACCCTTATGAGTCTACAGAGGTAAAGAGACAAATCAAATGGTCTGCTTGATATATACAAAGTCAGGTGCCGGTGGAAAACCATACCATTTCCCTCCGGGTGCCCCGGTTAAGAATCGGGCAGGGATCGGACACAGATTTATACTATTATACTCCGGACTTTGGTCTGCCCAGCCCCAAGCGGGGGTCAGAGCCCTGCAAGGGGGGCTGGTGGGGGCGGTGAACACATCAGTCCTTTGATCAAAGGCCGGCGAGCACGCTGGGCCCGGAGCATGTTGACTTGGTTCAACGCTTGTCGAGAAGTCGCGAATATCGGAGACGATGTGAAACGTTGGGTCGGAAAGGTAGAGGTAGGTCCTATCTTCTTTCCTCAGCTCGGGCTCTGATCCACCCAGAACTGACTGTTGTCTAACACCGTGGTCAGATCTAGCGAGTCCATCGTCGGACGCAGTCCTAAATCCATTACATCCCGTGCAACGGCTTTGATCTGTCGCATGATCGACTGGGAAATGGCCCAGGTGCGAGCCAACGACTTGAAGACACCGATCGTCAATGCCAGACGGTCGCGACTGGGGTCTGGCATTTGACCGGCTTTGACAGAGCAGGTGGCCAGTTGGACAATGGAGCTCAGAGTGAGCGCACAGATGAAAAATGGGGTGTGCTTGATAACGGGCAGACGGAAGGCAGCAAGGCGGGACAACTCTCGGGCAGCCTTGGCGGCCTTCATGGCATGCTCGTTGTGGGAGAATGCAGGCACGCTGATCGGGCCATGGTGACCGCAGATGACTTCCGCGGCAACGGCGGGAGATGAAAGAAGATCGGACCGCGGGAAGTTGAGGTAGATGGCTGCGCCGTTCAAGATCATAGTCGCCTGGAACATGATCTCATCCACGCTCCCGTCGGGTCGCAAGAGCTCTTCCTTGGACTCTGGCAAGTGATGGCCCCAACTGCCAATGCGCGCATCAAGAGCTTCCACATGGTCCTGCTGGCCTTCAGTCATATCCTGCATCGCCACCACACGACCGAGAATCCGTATGGATTCAATACGATAACAGAATGAAGAAAAGTCACGCTCTTCTTCCGCGAACACGCGCCCGTCAAATTGCGCAATGGTCGGGGACGGTGGCGGTGGTAGGGCGTCATGATAAATCCGCTCCTCGCATGGAAGTGGAACCTCAAGCGGTACTTGGTTAGTTCGGTACTCGCGCTGCACACCGAGGGCAGTCATCAGACCCTCGATTACAAATAGTTCCCACCAGGTGCGCCGCAGAGACTCTGCGCGGATTGGGTCCCCATTGCTTACAACGAGCGCAAACGTCCCTTGATGCATGCCAAGCTCAAAGGCTGAATCTACTGCAGCGGCTAGACAAACGCCGGCCTCGCCGCGCTCATTGTCTGAGTGAAGTACAATCGCCAGCAGAAGCAGCGCCTGCACCTTTTCCACCGACACATTTTGTTCTTGAACCATTGCGACAACCGTAGGCCGGTAGGTGTCACTCGAGGCGGCCGGGGTGAAGTGGGAACCGATGAACTTCATCACCTGCTCCAGGTATGCGGGGAACACGCTGCGATATAGGAGTCGGTGGGGTGGTAGGATTGGATGGGCGGCGTGGAAATAATTATAGTAGATATCGAGCAGGTAGCCATCCCCGCCGACAGCAGAGGAAGAATCCGGAGTCAGCGGCCCGCTGATTGGGCGAGCGTTTGGAACAATTGGCGTCGAAAGACCGTGCAGTCCGGGACTAGTTGATGCGGAGGAAGGCAATGGTATGGTTGGCGCATAATTGGACGCATAATTGAAGCCAGCCTGCAAGGTCCAATCCACGGGGACATCGAGCATGCCCGGGTTCGGATCCATGGGCAAGTAATCCGGCGAGTTAGCGCGGCGCTTTTTTGATGGGCCCTTGTAACCTCTTCGAGACTTAGTATATTCGCAAGGGGAGCGAGCCTGTTCACAGCGGCTGCAGACGGGAGTCCTGCCATCGCATTTGAGGTGCTTGTGACGGCACTGAAGACAGGCCAGTAATGCGGGACCCTGTTTAGGCCCAGAAGTAGCCTGTAATTCAGTCATGGTGAAGAAAGACGCATATAGGAAATAGTTAAAGCAAGATAGTAGAATTGATTAAAAAAAGACGACGAATAGAGGGGAAGAGAAGAGGGGGAAGGATTGAAGACGTTCTAATGTTCCAATGTCCCGGGGGGATGGTAATTCGCAATACACAATTAGGGGGGAGCACTTGTTGAACTTGGGAGTTCTCTCTCTCGCTTAGGGAAGAGTGTATATATTCCTACGGAGTAGAGAGGTTAACAAGGATATTCCCTGGTAAGCAGAGAGGCAAGAAGGCAAGGAGAGGACAAAAGTACCAAAGTACGTACATCGAAGGTCACGATGCAAGCGATTTACTATGTATAAAATACATTACACGGTATCGTGTACTCCGTACTTACATTACCCGATAGCCTCTCTCACCTCCAACACCCGTGGACCTTATCAACTACTTCACATCTCCCTCTACTTGACTCTCCTCCTCTCTTCCTCACCTCCTGTCAATCCTCTCAATTTATTGAAGAGAGAACCCCCCAATTCCTGCTTTTGGGATACCCGCCATTACACAACTACATTGTGTAGCGTCACTCGAACTACTAGCCGACGTGTCTTCTCCGATTATATCGCTCATCCCTTAAACGCTTCGTCTCTCGACCTCGACTGTCGTTTTGTCTCTTGATTTCATCTGCGACCATTCACATCGCTCCTCCGTGGCATCCTTTCACAATGATCTCCGACGACGACCTCTACCGCCTCGCCATCTTCCTTGGCTCCTGCGCCATGATGATGATTGTCCTATACCACTTCCTCGATGTCAATTCCAGTGAGGAGGAACCAGAGTCTGCCGAATCAGCAAGCCAGATTAAGGCCGAGGGGGCTGTGCCAGTGGTGTCAACAGACAAGGTGTCGGCTTCAGGGAAGGGGAATTAAATCCGATTTGCGACTCGTGGGAGAGAAGGAATACAAGAATCCAACAGGGAACCAAGATACCAGTGCCTACATCATTTGATTTTACTTTTACCAGCGGGTCAGGCACAAGCCAATTGTACACTACAGTCCAATCAATTGGAGAGAGAGGTAAATCATTGCCAATCTCATGGCTTTATTCATCAATCCTCTTCGATTAGTTTGAAATTGGGTGGGTTTCTGGGGAATTTACCGTATAGATCTCATAGATAACGCAGAAGCTCTTGAGGTGTCATCCAGGTGCAAAATATTGTGAGCCCTGCCATAGCAAGATGGCATATTATGATATGCTTTCAACGCCTGCCCCACGAAAGTCGATCCGAGACATCATCTCTCCCCAACAAAGCCCATTTCCCCAGAATGGAAAATGCTCTGCCGAATTGGTGTTGAGAGACGGCGGGCGCTCCAATCCATCTCAGGTCCAACCTGGTGTTTCCAGTGTCGCCCGGCTTCGAGCAGGGCTTGCGCCTTAGTCTTCTCCGTCGCTTTCCCATGGGCCTTGCTGAAGGCCTTAACCTGGTGCTCATCCACTGGTAAGACCATGGTCCCGGGGCGAGCACTTCGGTCACCCAGAACGGAAGGGTGGTGGGATCTGTTTTCCGCTAGAACATTCATCTGATTAGATATTTTCTTCAGATCAAAAACAAACTTCGTGTGTAGATCAGCCCCTTGGGGGAGCGTCAATCGAAAGCTAGTTATGATTCTCACCAGTTACTGGTACTGTTGGTCCATCCCCAAGCGCCCAAGCCATTTTAGAAATGTGCTCGGTCGACAAATGCGTAAACATGTCTGCTGCAGCCATTGGCGTCTTATTGCCACAGTCTTTCCATTTGCAAACAAGGGAGTGCGGGATGTGGACTTTGATAAGATGGGCGCGGACCGAGTCAATGTTGTGGAGTTCTGCTGTGCACCCCTCCCATTTGCATGGGAAGATTTGATAATTCACGGGCTGCTCGCGGTGGATCGCAACTTCGATATTTTTCGCTGCACTCTTGGGAGGTCGCCCTGGTCTTTTCTTCACGGGCATCTTGGCGGGTGACAGTGGGATAACAACTTGCGGCTGGGGAAGACGCCTTGCCTCGGGGGATTTGACGGACCGACCAGAGTCTGACTGGCTCTTGACCGTCTTCCCTTGAGGTTTAGGCTTTGTGATAAATTCAGGGTTTGCTTGTTGTTTTGTGGTAGGCGGGGGTTTGGGTGGAGCTGCACTGTTTGTGGTCGAAGGTCGTCGCTGTTGGGGTTGCGGTTGCGGCGGCGGTGGGGGGGGTTGGGAGGGGGGACGGATTGGTGGGATGAGAACTTCGGCAATGCAGGCGCAGGGTCGACCCTGGGAAGTCCAGAAGGCAAGTTTGAAGGGAAAAATGTGTTGAGGAGAATGATAAGTTGGGGGTTTAAAAGGCAAAGTACCCCATGGGCTCAAACCACCAGGAGGGGCGCGCGCGTCGATCCTTTCTGTCATTGCAGCTTGGCGATTTGGCGGTGTGTCACGCGAGGGCATGTGCGCGTAATCACGGGGAATCACGTGGTTTGGTGTAATACCGGGGTCACGTGGAAGTAGTTGCCAAGCTGGTTGTGGTGGTCGAGAAGGTGGCATTTGTGGTACAGGAACCGGAGGCATGCGATCAACTTGAGGTTCAGGCTGCTTGACATCTACCAGGTCCCAGCGAAAGGTTGCCAGGTCTGCAACGTAGTCGAGTTTGGTAAAATTACGGCGGAGTGCTTCAAGATGATGATTGAGATGCTTTTCCGTCGGGTGTCTTCCCGCAGCAATCAGTACATCCCGCGCGATTGTGGTGGGATCATAAGAGACCTTGAGCAGTGCATAGCTCTGTATTATCGGCTGGACCAGGTCGTCACGATTCTTAAGAATTTTACTAGGGCCTCGAGGCCGAGCATATCCCATAGAAACTTGGGCCCCTGGTACCGAGCTACCTGCTGATGGGTCGTTTTGGGGGGTCATTGTTTGACTTTTACAATTGTCCAATCTTCGCATCTTTGCGGGTGGCATAGAGCCACTAGGATGCTCTTCGGCTGGAACCCGCCGCTTTCTCTGGACAATAGTTGTCTGCGCAGGGGATGGCGGAGGGGTGGAAGCAGAGATAGGAGCAGAGACAGGAGCAGAAGAGACAAGAGAGACAGAAGGACTGCGGGTTAAAACAGGCTGGGATGTTGCAGGGCTGTGGACCCTATCAGGCACTGTAGGCACGGCTGGCTGCACATGATCTTTGTGAAATGAAGGCCCAGGCGGAGTTGGGTTAGATCTTGCGGGATTAGTAGCTGGATTCTGTCTTGATGGATTGGAAGCCTCTTCAGTGCTTGTGGCTGGTGTCATCGACTGGCGGGGTTCAAGTGTGCTGCGTGCTGCTGAAGTTTTGAATCCCTTCGGCGAAACCAAAGGGGTATAAAGTTCAGTGTCTACCGAGGAGTGGGAGCTTGGCGGTGCATTCGGGTGAGATGATCTTTGGACATTCTGAGTTGGGATCGTAGAATGGCGTTGATATGGGCTCTGTGGTTCTTGGGGCCTTGCCACCGGTGTATGTGTCCTTTGAACTGGAGGTGTCGGCCGGGCTCCTTGCGCTGCAGTGGAATGAGGTGGTCGCTGAGCATTGTGGGATGGAATTGTGGAGTGGCTGTAAGAACGACTTTGCGATGCAACCGGCGTGTATGTTCTTTGAACTTGTGTCATCATCCCTTGTGCCATGTGCGGTTGGGTTAACATCTGGGAATTCTGATTTGGGGTTGCCGAGTAGCCTTGATACGGGCTTTGTGATGTGGGCACAGCCCGCGCCATGGGTTGGTTTGTTCTCTGTGCAGGGACTGTCGGTCTCGTAGTTTCATAGGACCTGTAGGTGCTTTGATAGGCCTCTGAGGAGTGTGGTATAGAATTGGAAGGCCTCTGTGGGGGGCCAGCGGGATCCATGCGAGATTGGTCGCCGCGGCGATATGCATCCTGATGTCCCTGAGCAGTGAAGTGCTGTTGGGACGGAACGGGGGGATTTGGCCGCTGAGTGATATGGTGAGAGCTATCTGTTGGATATGCAGGGTGACTAGAAGGAGGATTGTTGAATGGAATATTGCTGTTTTGCTGGTGTTTATTTCCTCCATACTGTCCACCCGAGGCTTGCGAGTATGCCTGAGAGGGATTCAAGGCATGATTCGTCCCAGTATTGGTTGACCTCATAAATGAATATGACTTCGGTGCCTGCTGGTGCATAACGGCCGCTCTAGCCACCTGCTCCGCATCGTGAAATGCCGGATGTGTTTGATAAGCCTCATTGTTGAAATTGAGGTCGTGGTCGGGTTGACTATCGGCTGGAAGGAAACTCTCGAGCCAGTCGTATCCGTCCATGCCTCCGTTAGACATTTCAAATTGTGCCTAGGCTGTCTAACAGTTACAATCTCATGGTTGGATGTTGTAGGACCGCGCGAAGAAAAGGCTTGATCGTAATCCGTTGCGCATGGAGGGATTGGATCGCGGCCGAACAGGGAAAGTTGTTTTTACCAAATAGACTCAAAAAGACTATCAGATGCAAACTACGACCAAAAGTGAAGAATTAGGAAGAAACTGCCCGCAGTCCTGAAAGCACGGCCAAGGAGCTGGCCTGGCGCAGATGTTGTCGAGACTCATTGAGAAGCGCGTCGGAGGTGGATCCCGTCATCAACCAATAATATCACGGGTAGTTGGTGCCTTGGGGATCGGGTGTCTAGTTGCAAGCCCTGAGATGGCTTAGCGGGAAATTAGTAAGCACACAATCCGGCTCCAACTTGGAATATTCGGCTACACCAGAAAAGATCCTCTCTTCGACCAACGCCAACGACACCCGTTCAATTCCCACTCACGACCTTTAAGATGGCTGTCCGAACCCACGGTGCGTACTCTCTCGCATCTCGCCTTGCGCCGATTTGATTTACCACTGCCCGAAACCCCTGCCAACACGAATTTTCGCCAATCTTCAACTTTCAATACTGATGGTGTCTCCTCCAGGTATCGCCTCTTCGCGGAGCAAGTCTCGCAAGGCACACTTCCAGGCCCCCTCCAGCGAGCGCCGTGTCATCCTCAGCGCCCCCGTCTCCAAGGAACTCAAGGAGAAGTACGGAGTATGTACCACATGAACCTCCAAATCGAATCTGGGTCTGGTCGAGTCGAGTTTTCGGGCTTGGAAACTACGGACGATACAGGCGCCAGCATGGCACAATAAACGACGATTCTAACCAGCGTTCTGTGACAGATCCGCTCCATTCCCATCCGCAAGGACGACGAAGTCGGTGAGTTTTATTCTTGATGTAATCTGAGAATATTCTCAAGATCTTGAAGCTGACTATTATTTGCAGTTGTTGCCAGAGGTTCCCAGAAGGGCCGTGAGGGCAAGATCACCAACGTCTACCGTCTCAAGTTCTCCATCTTCGTCGAGAAGGTACGATTCGAATTTACATCACACTTGTTGCGGTGGATACTTACTGCGGTTTTAGATTGTTCGCGACAAGAGCAACGGCCAGAGCGTCCCCATTCCCCTCCACCCTTCCAAGGTTGTCATCACCAAGCTGCACCTCGACAAGGACCGTGAGCAGATCATCGAGCGCATCGCCAAGGGTCGTGAGGCTGTTAAGAGCAAGTCGACTTAAGGGATTTCTTACGTGTGGGGTATAGGTTCATGTTGCAATGGCGGTTGACGGCGCGGGTTCACTTGAAGGACTCTGAGAAACGGAGTTTCCAGCCTGCTATGATCAGGGTAAAGTTTCTGAAACCAGGTGCATTGCGATGAATGAAAAATGAACAAAATTTCCTTTTTCTTCTATCCGGAGTCGGTGCTCGCAAGGCAATTCACTTTGCGCAGCCGACGTTCTTCTTCCTTACGTCTCCCGCGCACATAGGAACGTCCGTCGAATGCTACAGCTCAATCTTCAGGCCATTTCGTTCCGTCTCCAGCTTGCAGCTCGTCCGGTCTAGCATTTCTTTCTTCGCTTGCGCAGTTTTGTAGCGACCTCTTTCCCTTCGCTTTCATCTCCAATTCCTCCCTATTGGAATATAGAGGTGTCGCCTGGTTATCTCCTCGTCAATCCCGGCCTTTTAGGACGGAGTCTATGGTTGAAGGGGTTAAAAAAATGGCGTAGACAATCCACAGGGCTACTGGGAAGCTGGTAGCTTCTGTCTTACCTGCAGACTCACTCTGATGCTTTTGGGCAAGGACGAAGTGGGTTTGATGGTGAGGTACATATCTTACTCCAAGTTGGAGTATATAGGCTGTAGACTGTAGTAATCGGTTCTATATCTTCGATGTGGGGGATAATAGATATTTTCTATTAATCAATTGATTTACTTTTATTTGCGTCAATATTTCCTCTCAACTTTCCTACATGTAGCATTTGTTTTGGGCGTTTTGTTATACTTCGGCTTGCTGTATGTATCATCCAGAGTGACAGGTTGTAGTGCCTACATAGAGAGGACTCTCACTGCTGGTAGCTTTGCTGTCTAACTATACGTGCACTGGGGTAAGATCATGGTTCTTGACAACCTAGGTCGAAATTCTGGTAGTTCGATTATGGATACATATATATCGAGGGCTGGATCTCAAGTATATTTGTCGTCATGCTCAGTAAAATCAATCGTAGAATCTAACAAGATACCCAACTAACCAATGAAATATTTAGGGCTTATTGAATAAATTATTCTTCCACACTAATAAACAGAATATTCATCATTTACAATAGCTAAAGCTTTGACAAGATGAGACGTGAGGCATACCAACCCCACTGGCTAGACACCAAGTCACTTCCATCACTCAAGTCCTATAAAATATATGCAAAGTTCGATACCCTAAAGAATACAAATCAGATAGCTTTAATATACAAACCAGAGTAGGAAAATAATCCAAGGAGTAAAAACGGAGCAAACTCAGAAAAAACTAGGAAAGCGGATAACCATCGCATCGTGTCTCAAGAGAAAGTCGGAAACCGAATCAACCTCAGAAACCGGATATTGGAAAAAAAGCACGCTCGCTGAAATGTTCGACTAGCCCACCCCGAAACTGCGCTAATGTCCAACACACTTCCCCCATGCAGGCAGTCCACACCCCATACCAATGAACAGATATAGCAAGAAGATAACGACGACCACGATCATAATCATCAACTTAGTATTCTTCCACCACATCCGCCTCCGCAGTCCCCGGCTACGGATCCGGAAATCATGCGCACTCCCACCAAGCCGATCGGTCTTGTCAACCAGCAGATCGATGCGCTCGCCGCGCTCCAGGACCCGCTCGATATTCTCGGTCATTATATCACGGACGCTGTCAATCTCGCGTCGGGCTGATGCGAGCGAGTCTGCGGGCGGAGCGGTGTTGTAGGCTTGTAGGAGGGAGCGCAGCTCGTTGTTGAAGGCAGCGCAGCCGTAGGCGGGCAGTGAGGCGAACTCGGTTGTGGATGGTTCATAGGTGGTCAAGAACTTGCGCTTCATTTCTAGTAGGTAGGCGAATGGGATGCGGCGGCCTTGCTCTGCAGATGCAACTACCACGAAGCTCAGGGGAGCGTGTGAGTTGGGCTCTGCGATGTTGCCATCGTCGGATTGGTTGCCTGTTGGCGAGTCGGCAATGTAATGGACAAAGAGCCGTTCATGGGTGAAGGTGAGCTTTTGTGGTTTGTCGTGTGTGATCTTTGGGAGGATGATGGAGGCTAGTGACGAGGCGGCGGTCGATGAACTGCCCGGTGAGGAGTGTTCAGCCAGAATAGTAGTGCCATGGGCGATGCACGAGCTGAAGTGGATTATATTGTTAGTCTGGGGATAGTTTCTTTGATCGCTCAAATGTCAGGTAGCGAGACTTACTAGAGCAAAGAGTTCGTCTTGGAGGATGAAGCCATAGTGATTATGATGTCAGTGGCCGCGACCTCAAATATAGAGGGATCGTAGCAGAAAAGAGGAATAATTCAAAGTAATAGAGGAGCCTGCAGTTCTCAAGCGCTTGTATAATGCTTAGATATAGAAGCTACCTGTAGTTTGAAAGATCTTGAAATCTGGAGTACCTTGCACTGGGCCCCGGGGGTAGTCAGGTTCGCGCAAAGCTGCTGAGTCAGCCACCTCAACGCCAGGCGCCACCGGTTACAGCTCTTGAGTAGTTGGGGTCTTTTATATGAAATTATTTAATGAGAACGTATTCTTTCATACATAACTCAGTCGCATTCTATAAAAGGGGGCTTGCACCCGCTAGTCACAACCCGAATATTTCATATACAATCCTCTACTATGTATCGACTTTGTGTTGCAGTAAAATTTCAGTTCTCTTCCATGCTAGAATCTACGGGTTAGTAGATCATGAAGCATGAAAGTCTGGTGGCTATATTGCAAGTCATATAATAATCTTTACACAAGCTAGTTAAGAACTGCGGCCAGCGGTAGACATACCTAAAGTAGTGGAGTGGGGGTTGTGTCGCTGGATAAAGATTGTGTCCATAGCCCTTCTTCATTTTTTTTGGACTTGAGAACCATAGGTGTACCCAGACCTCGGGAAATATGGAGATGCATGGGTTTGTATGGTATAAAAAGCTTCATTTTGATGTGAATAACAAGAATAGTCGGCCGCTTATACGGCGGGGCCTCTGTTCGGGACGACCTAAGACTTTAATAATCTGATCTATTTGGACGAAGATTGTATTAGGGATGTTATATGTAAGGACACTCTGGAGTCCTTTTTGGATGTTCTTTTTGGATGTCTTCTTAGGTGTATATGAAGGGGATAAAAAGCATACCTTTTCCATATCAATTGATATAACCCTTGAATTTACATTACACAACCCTTTCGGACTCGGGCCCGCGACCGTTTGACGGGCGTTAGCAGGTTGGGGTTGGTGCTTGTAAGGCCACATGTGGAGTACGCAATGCCAGACGGTGTGCGTCCTTCAAGTCCAAGCTCGGTGTATTCGTCCATACATAATCGGCTGGGTGCATTGTTGGTTACATCAAGCACCAACCACGTCTGCGAGGATGCGGTATGTCATGCTTTCAAGCCTAGCCTCCGACGAGGGTCAAGACGGAAGGGCGTCTGCCACAGCATCGATGTTTTCATCCTGGAACGGGGTGTCCACAGATAGGGCGTGGTGTGCGGCCAGCTGCTGTTGAAGGTATGGATAGAACTGCGCTGCTAGCTGGGGTAGGGTCTTACGGGTGCAATTGTATTCCATCAGCCGCTGAATCGTATGGTCCTGGAAGAAGACCCATGCCTTCTGAGACCCATGCCTTCTGAGGGTGGGCCTGCCCGAGACGGTGGGTACGCCCCACAGTTTGAAACACGCCATTGTAATTCTGTGACCCCTCTAGGAGGATGATCCGACTGCAACATCCATGCATATTCAAGCCTAGCGAGCCCCAGTTGAAAGTTGTTAAGAGGACCGTCGTCGTGCTCTCGGGGTTTGTAAACTGCTGGATGGCCGCCGACCGACTCTCAACAGACATACTAGCACGGATGACCGTGAAATCGACACCAATAGCAGAGAGGAACATTTCTACGAGCCAACGAGTAAACGACCAGTTGCAATACACCAGGAACCGAGGGCGTGGGCCGGAGTCATCGAGGCTCCCCTCAGTAAAGAGTAGGTGTAATAAGAAACCATATGCGAGGTATCGGGCCACTGCCATTCGGTTTGTCGGGATTGCGGTTGCCCGATCTTGAATCGTGCGGTGGAAAAACAGTCCGAATTCGCGATCATTGCCGACCTGATTAAATGCGTCAATGTCCGCCGAGAGGACATTATTTGCGGACCTCTGAAGGAAGTGGGCTAAACCCGGGTGGACAGCCACGTGGGCCAGTTGCCGGTATATAGCCCAGTTCATCGAGGCTGCCTGGTCGGTCTGGGCGGGTGACCCGCTGGCCTGCGACTGCTTTCGGTGTTTTCGAACAGGTCTCCAAGCAGTACGGCCATGTGGTGATGATCACCACTTACAACGTCGAGCGAGCTCGATTCCAGCAACAGTTCCATTGGGTAGTGCTTATCGTTTCTGTGTGTGTAGAATTGACGTGTCGCGTGATGTGTCATGGTTGTGAACGATTTTGTGCTAGGACGGGGCCAACGCAGAACTGGGGTTCATCTTTCTTTACTGCGGCATCGGTTTTCAAAGATAGGTTTCCCAGCTTGGAGGCATGGAACCTGCCGGTCAAAGCGTAACGGCGGCCCACCGGCTCGGTGGAAGCTTCGGTCGTGGTCTACCTGGGTGGGCCGGGTGTACCGCATCTCGTCAGTTGTGATAGCCAATGAGGGGATGTCCGCACCCATAGTGAGCGTGGCGCTATCTACACCAGCCATGGTGTGGCCTGTTTCCCGCGACAGGTGTGTCGGTGGGATAAGACCTCGCATTTTGAGTGTTATGTGTCATCAGGCGAAGAATGGTCGGAAGTGCGCAGAACCCAGCCGCGGTGGTGAGATGCCCACGGCGACCGAGTCGAACGAGACCGACAGGTGAAAGCAGGTGGTAGGGTAGCTCGACATCTTCTCTCTTGTTGTTCTGCCCAGTCCTGACTCAGAAGAAAAGATAGTTATGTAATAGGGTTTGTTCTACTGGGCGTGTAAAGCTGTCGGGACAGACTAACGAAGTATAATTAGGAAGCTATGTGAATTCCGACTACGGAGTATGTAGGGAACAAATAGGAAATCCTCAGACTTGCCGCGTAAGAAGTTACTGAAGCTAAAAAAGTAGGTGGTATTTTACGAATCGAGAACGACCAATAAAATGAAATCGCCCCTCTACCGATACTGCTAAAGCACATTAAAACGATTTCACGAGACGACGGTACTTACTTGCTGAGCCTCCTTCTTCCGAAGGCCAAGGATCCTGAGGCAACAAATGACGCTTGCTAATGATTTGACTACGTTAGTTTCGAACCGGTGGAACTGCTCTGCGCTCTAAATGATTTTCCTCTTCCGTGCGAGCAAGCTGACCATCTTGCAGTTGTTCGAGGCTACTTGAAAAGAAAATTTATTGCACTAATGCAATATGCAATAGTGCGCACTGCAGATCTTCAGTTTAAAGGTTATACAGAATGTAATAATCTACTAATTGTCTTTTATATTTTCTGCCCATTATTGTTACCTATCCTTGCTTCCTGTCCTCTTCCCCTATTGTTTGCCCCCTTATCGTTTACCTTCTGTGATTGAGGCATAAATATCGCGAATACTTCCCTTCCATGTTACAAGCCTACCTAAAGGTTAGTGTCAAGCTCTATCTTTACTATGCACACAAAATGCATTTCAACCTTTTGATCACCGTCGCTCTTTTTGCAACAGAAGCGATTTCCCAATACTCCAGCAATGGAGATTCCTGCAGCTGGCCTGAAACTATACCTTCTTGCGACTTTGCCAACTCTGAAGGAGCCAAGATAGGTGATTTAGTAAATGGCTGGCAGTTCAAAGCATGGACTATTGAAGAGGGACACGAGAACGATTGTTTAACTCTGACCAACCCTGACGCCTGCTGTGAGGAGTATGTCACTGGGTACTCATCGAAGTTCAAGAGGCTCTGGTGCAAGAAATTAGGTCAGTGATACACCAAGTCCATCAGTCCTTGCTATGAAGGCACACTTTTGATGCTTATACTTATTTTCCTTTTAGCCGGAGTTCCTAGAGATGGGGCTTGTCCCCCCGATGATGAAGCACTTGCAAAGGTGTCGAAACCCCTTGGGGAAAAATTTAAGGAGATCTGCGATCAAGGAATCAAACCCGGTGGCCAGGTGGACGTGGATTGGTTCAACCGCCATATTATCCCTTATTATATGTCCAAGAAATGGCTTACGAAAGATCCGCCAAAAGGATGGGAAAAAGAGAAGGATAAAATCCTCGCGAAATGTCATAAAAATTCATACAATTACTGCAACGCAGGGGATCGGAAAAAGTGTGGAGATTGCGTCAAGGGGATGGCTGGAAGCTTGATGTTGAAATATGGTGCGACTGCAATGGCATACTGTCCTATTTTGGATAAGAAGATCGAAAATTGGGAGAAGGACGACAAGCCACAGGCGATGAAGTTCTTCACGGCATATTGCAAAACGAAAGGAAAAAAGTGTTGAATTGTCAAATACCCGTCCCTAATAAGCCGGCTTTTGGTCTTTTCGGATTCTTCTCAGTATTTTCAGATGTCTGTTTTCATAGATATTGTCTCCCCCTTCTCAGTTTGTTAGCTAGACGACAGAAAAAGGAAAAAAAAACCATACTTTGTGTTTGAGACTTTTCTATCTATAACCTTTGATAATAGTTAGGTTAAAAAATTCCAGAGGTCAAAATCCATTTCGAGATCGATGGCAAGCCCTGGAGCCCACATCTTAGTTAGGTCAGCATTCCAGTGGACCCGCCTCAATAATATCCATGGATGCTTTTTCAGTCAACCTCTCCTTTTCCCCTCTAGCTCTTGGAGTTAATACTCTTCTTCTTGTATACAAGCTGGGCCTTGAGCTAAACTGGAGCAATTGTTCAATTCTGTCTTTGATATGGGGACGAGACCCACAATAATCAGAAAAAGGCAACAGGCGGACGGAAGAGGGAAACCTTAAAGGAAAAAAAGTCATAACCGTCACGATGAATTCTGCCCTCGGAAACATTTTACGAAGACGCAGGCCAGATTACCTATCGCAAGACGACGCGATGTCACGTCGAACGCCCGTGATTCAGCCTTTTGCGGGCCGGGTTGGCGGCAATCAAGGCCTGGTGCTTGACCGAAGCAATCCCGAAAATGCAGAGCTACTCAAAAAAGTGCCCGATGCGGCGCCACTAATGACCTTGAGTGAGGGATTCGACCTTCGTAGTTTTTGCGATATCAATCTCTGGAGGTTCGGTTTCATTGAATGTATAGGTAAGAAATGAAGGCAGTATTTCGCCTAACAACTACCTACTCTATTAAGGCAAATGTGAAGCAATTGTGCTGATGTGAAAGACCAGGTACTATGCTTATGGTATTTGTCACGGCCTGGATCTCTATACAAAAGCCATTCACAATGAGTACCGGGTCATCATCCGGCGTCTTCTCTACCCCTGTTTTCCTTGGACCTCTATTCGGTGGAATCGCCAATTGGCTATTTCTAACGCTCTTCATCTTCACATTCTCAAACGTCAGTGGCAGTCACCTGAACCCGACTATTACTTTAGCCACATTCTTCGCCCGTTTGATTTCCTTTCCACGAATGGTTATATACCTACTCAGTCAAACTCTAGGTGGAGCCCTAGCTGGGTTCATACTTCAGTCGGCCTACGGCTCCACAGACTTCACAGTCGGTGGCTGCAATATTGACCTGCGGCTAGTTCCTGTTGCGGATGCCTTTCTTCTCGAGTTCATTTTCTGCCTGCTCCTGCTGTTCCTCTCCTTTGGAGTGGGCCTTGACCCTAGACAGGGCCAGATATATGGAGCAGCACTTTCACCTTTTCTAGTCGGGATGACGCTCGGTGTTGTAAGTTGGGGGTCAGCATTCACTCGGAACGGCTATTCTGGAGCTTGTAAGTAATGAGTTATAATTTCAAATCCCTACCTAGGTAATTTCGATGGGCTCATTAGCATGCACAGGTTTAAACCCGGCTCGTTGCTTCGGTGTCTACGTGGCCACCTCATTTCCCAGCTATCATTGGGTACATTGGGTAAGATTTGAATTGTCTATGACCATGCTTTTTCGTCTAACTAATTCCCCTCCGTAGGTCGGTTCGATTGTCGCTTCCGTGGGGCATGGAATTGTTTACTTTGTTGCACCCCCGTGGGGTTATAGAGCAATATAGCCTAAGGCAAATTTTTTTATCATCTTTGGTTTGAGCATTCATCTCGGCAGCTGCTGTGTCAACCACTGATATTCTCGTCCTGATTTGCAACAAAAACAACTACATTGTATGTTGTATATCTGGGTAGCAAATAGACAGGACGTGCGTGTGTGTGTGCATAAGAATTTGCTTTGCACAAATATTATATACTCTAAGCACTCAATCAAATGGATCATCCGACATGCTGTTATTCAACACACAGTCCATGGCCCAGCCAAGCGGCGAAAGACAGCCAGAGCCTGTGACCCGTGCCGTCTGCATCGCATTAGTATCATAGGTTTTTGACGCTAATATTGTCCCGGGAAAGCCCTTTTGAAACCTTAGATACCTGCCTAGTCGTAAGCAGGCTGAAGCTTTCCTTCCGGTTTAAATTTTGTTTAGTGGTCAGACTTACAAACCATAGTTAAGCAATGGCAGACAGGCCCAATCGCATCATGATCTCATAGTAACTTCTAGAATTATTATAAGATAGACTTATTGTAGTTACCCTCCTCGAATAACTTCATCGATTTTACAATTACCCCGATCATCTTACCTCGTCTTTCTTTTTGATATGGTCGAAAAGAGAAGTCCTGGGATCGGGGCAGTCATTTGGCTTACTTCTATTGGAGATTTATGTCAGTATCAACGATTCAGGGCATAATACTCAGCCTTGCCTGTTGTCCTGCTTGGGACAGAGTCAGAGTGCCCCTCAGACTGTGTTGAATATAGTTCATCATCGAGGTAAGTGATTCGAAACTCTCCCGTTATCTGAGACTACGCCAGCGCAGTCTATAAAGAAAGAACACAGGGTCTGATGATGCTTAGCATTAGGCTGGCATCTTGCGAGAGAGAATTGAATAGGGTCGGTGCTGCTCAGAGTATTCAACAGAGTGTATTAAATACAGTTCATAATTGAAGCAAGTGATTCGAAACTGTCCCGTTATCTAAGACTGCGCCAGCGTAGTCCATAAACTAAAGCCATAAAGCCGTAGTTTCGTAGTACTTTTCTGAACTATCACGAACGGGAAGATGCTGTTAGCACCTCCTTCGAATACTTCTTTCCATTCAGTACTTATTTCGACAACCTTTAAGAGCTTTTGGATGATACCGAGCCGGTTAAAACGCCACTCAGAGTGGATGGATTCATCATCGAGGCAAGTGATTCCTACTCCCTGTTACGATCCAAGGCTCTGGGGGAGGAGTTTTGTGGGGAAAAAAAAGACTTGGGTTCCTGAGGGAGCACAAACGTGAAGGAAAATATGAGTGTCATCATTCCGTAGATACATACTTCACTGCAAACCAAGGTTTACATCGCCAGACTTCATCGAGCGCCACTGAGCCATTTCCCCGAAGCCAGAAAGACTACTCGCATGCAACTACGGTGGACACTCTTCTCCCTGGATTTCCAATGCTCGCTACGGGTCGAAATGCCCCTGCCAGACAGAAGAGCCTCGTCAAATGCCCCTTTCTGAGTCAAATACGTGGGAAGAATCATCCTAACACAGTTGAAGTCCTGGAGAAAATGAGGAGAAAGTCATATAGAGGCAGATCAAAGGGCTTGCATAGCGTCGACCCATGGAAGGACTTATTGGAGGACCTTTTTGGACTGAAAAATAGAAAGGTGGTGGAAAGATAGGAAAACACCTGTAGATAAATTTACTATACATGTGCCTACAACATGCTACCTGAGTAGCGTTTGCACCTAGGTAGTTTGTGCATATGCAATAGAGAGAAGTAAATTAGATTCCATTTTGAGCGATGCCCTTTCTCGTGCAAACATTCTGCTTCTGTAACTCCAGTCAAAAAGAAAAAAGAAAAGAAAAGAAAATCAACGGGGTATTTTAGAAATAGTTCTGGACATCGATGAATTCGAACTCAGCATCATTACCTTCATCATCCACCTTGTCTATTTCGATACCCTCGGCGATACCAGCAAAAGAAGGCTCAGGCGATCCCATAGCCATGGTAATGGTGCCATCGCTCTGTGTTTCGTATTCGCCATCGTCGGTAGTCAGGCCAAGATCCAGCGATGATATCTCATCATCGGACCCGGTTACCTCCATGTAAGTTTCCGACTGCACTTCATCATGGCTCTCACAATTCTCATATTTGAGCCTGAACTGGGAATAGTCGGTAGAGTCCACGGACATGATATCCGACGCGTGACTGTAAGTGGCGTTGTGAGATGCGCCATAAGCGGTGCTCTGAGTGTCACTAGCCTCGATCTCGCTGAGAGAATCATTGCTTGAGGCCACACTGCCAGTGTGCACGGCGGGCCCGGGACCTGAGAATCCACCGATGTCCATGGCGGGAATGATTAAGTCGGTGAAAACACCGCCTGTTTCATCGTCATTCCCGCCCGCCCATAGAGGTAGGTATTGGAATTCATTGTATGTGAGGCAGGTTAGGGTATCTGTAAGTTCGTGTTGCATGGTGGGTGGGCCAGGTTGCTGTAACATCTCTAGTGCGTATTGTCCCAAGAAAGAGTGAACCTCATTTTTGAATGTCCTTTCGTGGAACATTTCTGCTGAGATGTCTGGCTTTGGTGGCATTGGATATAAAGGTGGAGGACATGGATTAGGAGTGGGAGCAGGAATGGGATTGAGGAAGGGACCGTTGTTGGAGGTGCTGTCAACCTCGTTTCCAGATTGTGACTTCCGGACGTTAATGGTCATCTCCATCGTAAAATGTCCACCCGCATGTCGCGCAGCCAGAGCCTCTTCCTCCTGACGAGCCTGACCTCTAGTTCTAACCGCTTGGTTGAACACATGGCTCATCTGGCGAACTTCGCCAGAGGATACCTGGCGAATCCCTGCTGCGGTTTCGGCACCAAAGGCTAGTGAGCCATTACCGATTTCCGCTATCGAAGAATGAGACTCCATACGAGGTGCTTCATCTTGATAGAGATCGAGCGATACCAGCGCACCCCAGAAGTTTTTCCCGATCAATCGCTGAAGGACAAATCCCTTATCTATGCCCCATCGGTGGTATGGGTTTTCGGATCTCGCCAAGTTTGGAGCCACATGGAATGAGCGATTTGTGTCTCTTTCCTTGATCAAAGCCCCGTAGATGCGGTCACGAATGAATTCCTTCAGCGTCATGACTAGTTGATGTACGATTCCTTGATCTGCAGGATAAAGTTGAAGATGGCGGGTAAGCTTCTGGAACTCAGCAACGTGTGCCAACCAGGGCATTTCACTCCCGGTCAACTGTAAGAAGCACCGAACAACGTAGTCCCCGAAACTCTTGCTGGAATATTCGATACGCTGCACCTCGGTGTCGTCTAGAACATCAGAAATCCGGCTCCGCACCAAGTTTTTCATGGACCCGATTGGTTTGAAACATGTCGCCCGAATCAGATACAGCAGGGCTTCATCCCCGACCATTTCAACGAAAGAATCTCGGCAGAGGCAGGGAGATTTGATACCGCATGCCACTCGATATGCTACCTCGGGATGAAGTTCAATGAACCGAGTGTTGTTGAGCTCGTAGAACCAGGAGATGATGTGGTCGCAAATGGCCGGCACCGTAGCCACGTCAAATATTTTGGCGAGCGCAAAAAATGTCCACATCTTGCAAGGAGTGTCTATTCTAGGGTTTAGTCCTTCCAGAACGTGGAGAATGTGCTCAATGCCTTCACGATGACGCGAGGCTGAGTATTCCACCGGCAAGCCTTTCTCCTCTACTGTTTTAGGCTGTGATTCCGGAAATTGGTCCTGCGATTCGAATGAGGATTCAATCAGCTCATTTTTAAAATATTCGAGATCCTCGACATAGGCGGCCCCGGGTTCAGGTGATATTTTAGGGAATTGTGTAAGCTGCTCCGAGGTTTCCAAGTCATCTTGTCCCCCGACACACGACAATGGCAGGCTCCACATATCCCCCTTTGAGGCCCACGTTCTGATACTCATAGGGCACGAAAGCTCCGTTAGGAAGATGACTGCATCTTCTTCCAGGGTTGGCGGTGTGAGGTCCAAGACGTATTGGATTCCATCTGGAAGTTTGCCAGTCAAGCCGCGTCGCTTTCGGACCCGGGTCTGCATTTTCGGATTGAAGAGTCGTTTGAAGTAGACTGAGCCTGTAGCCAATAATTTCTCACTGTGGATGCGATGGGGAACTGTCTCTGCGGAAAAAGGCAACTTGGCTCGGATTGTCTCCGGAGCAGGATCAATGAATACCAGAGTATCTGCGCCATGGAGAAGAAGTAGAAATGGCATTATTGTGAGGTTGAAAACTGAATGCTGAGAATCCGGGGGACTCGTTGGGAGCGCTGTGGGGGTATTGAGGGGGGGTATTGAGGGTGTTTGTAGGGTTTGAGATAGTGCCAGATTCGCCCATAGTATCACTGTTTGGTCCCTGTTGCTGATTTTGCTGATTTTGCTGATGCTGTTGCTGTAAGAGTAGAATATTTTCAGTTTCTCCCCGAGGGGTGTAGCCTGGAGGGTGAGGTAGCTCCATTTTGGACAGAGTTTCAAGAGGTCACCATGAAGAGAAGATGAGATAAAGATGGAGATGACTAGAGAGTAAGGTAAGAGTTAAGTCAAGAGCACGGGGAATGTTATAATAGTTCACTTAGGTAGCAGAGGAGTAGAAGAAGAAGAAGAAGAAGGAGGAGGAGGGAGATTGTGGGGGAATGGGGAATGAGGCTCTTCCGCCTGAAACGAGATAAGTACGTGTATAACAAACAGCGCCTTGTCATGTCTTTTTTAGTAATATTTTAGATACTATTCTTTTAGTTGTCTTCCTAAATGCCTTCCCAAATGTATTTTTTATATATTTCCTCCCCTATTAGTGTTAGACGCAAAATATAGAATATAGTGAAAAAGGCGTAAAATGACTAATATCTCTCTACCCATGACACTAATTTCAATATTCCCATAGCAGCCTCTTATAGGTAGCTATACATACCAGATATACCCTAGGAATTTATTACCTTAGTCACCGCTTTTATGAGGGCTCTTAGAGTCAGGCTGAGTAAATTTCAGTCAAAGGCTTAGACATGACCTCTTGTTTAAGGGTGCCATATTTTTCTAATCATCGCCAGGTACCTCCTCAGAATAATGAAGCCAAGATCTTCATTTATGTAACAAAGATGATAATGGGGCGAATTGGCCATTTAAATCTGTCGCATCATCTCCTCCCATGGAAACAAAAACATATTGATCCCTACCAAGACCACAACAAATCCTCCAATGAAAGATAGTACGGCCCTGACCGGATTCAATGGGTGTTTAATGGCGTAAAAAGCCCAAGAAGCAGCAGACAAGAACCACCAGACTGGGGATACAGCCCACGTAATCCGATCTGTATAGAGAATTGAATTAGTAACTTCCTTTAAAACTACCTAGTAGCTATCCTGGGGGTCAAAAGAGAATCCGAGATGATGTTACATACCTTGCTTAGCCTGTAATCCTAATTCCGGTAAAATCAACAGTAGTACGACAGACGCCAGAGCCAAGGCAGAGGCACTGGCGGCATCTGAAGATAGATAATATGGTCAGTTCAAATGATTCAATTCACTTTCAATGGGAAAAGGAAGAAGAAAAAAGAAAGCCACATACAACTGCTGATGATCGCCAATGGTCTTGCATCCAGGAGCTCGGATAAATCCTCCTGAATCGCACTATAAATACACAAACCGACATTGTCCCCAAAGATACGCTGGATAGTCTCTTGAGACGCTGGCGTGAGCCGTGAAAACTGCCCGATTTCCCATTTACTGGCGTGTTTCTCTGCATCGTCGACGGAGACGTTATATTTGTTCACGAGGAGTTGGGTGATGTAGGTGCGGACTTCGTCGGCGGGCGCATTGGCCGACGGGAATGTCTTGAGACCTGTTCTTGGTGGAGATGTTTTCTTTTCCATTGTGAGTTTGTAGAATTCTCTGAAATAAAATAAATGAGATCGTTCGTGGACTTGTCCGGCATTATATACTGATTAGATATGTTCCGAGGATGTGCCGGGCACTAGCGCCTATAATCGGGGCACACGCGTTGAACCACAATGGCTAGGTTTCAAAGGTAGGGACGCGGCACTTGCGTCATTAATTTTAGTTGAGCCGCGCCAAGCACCAACACCGAGAGTACTGTCATAAATGAGGTATGTATTTTCGAGAAGTATTATTTTGGAGTATTGGGGATCTATCAGTCAGCCTTGGTACTATGCCCTGCGCCATGGATGTTTCCCGAGGTCCAGTGGGGACTCCCGTCTTCAGCCGCACTCTAAACCTTGGTCACGTTCCATATTCCAAGTTTGGAAGCTTATTTCTAGTCCACCAAAGGTGTAGTAAAAGTAAAAGCATCCAAGAGATAATTGAGGAAGAAGAGAAAGCTGTCCAAGGTGACCTCGGGAAGACCCGTGACAAGTGGCGGATACCTTACTCACCATGCGCTCATGTCCATGTCATTCTTTTTTCTATAGATATCCAGTGAGGAAATTTTATCTTGCTTTTGTACAATTGAATCTTTCCAAGCTACTTGCGCTATTAAAAACAACCCCATCTACAACCCATCTACAACCCCATCATGGCTACCATGACAGAAGCCGTTTATCAGGGTCGGAAACCGATGAAGTCAGTATCTGCCCCGTGAGTAGATGTCCGTCTGTACTGACGCAAAAGAAAATAAGATCTCGCAACATCGCCCTCCTAAGCATCTTTGGGGTCGTTAGCGGTACATTGCTGATGTTCCGCCTCCTAGCTCCCCAGCCAGGCACGCTCAATACGAACGAAGAGATAGCGGCGTTCCGGGGTGGCGATTCTGATCAAACAGACCAAGGCGAGATATATGGACACACTGCCCGCCCGCCTCGAAAGGGAAAGGGATATCAAGTGCCCAGAGGAGGAAGCGTTTGAGGGGAATGCTGTCTGGGAGCATGAGCATACTAGGGAAGAGCATTGAATTGGATAGAAAGTTTGGAATCTGAACATTTCGATTTCATGTGTGGACTGATGAACATTGAACCTTGCCCGTTATGCACCCCGAATGAGATGGTATCTGGTATCCGCAAAACAAAAGCCAACACGCCAGGTCAAAAGTAGATATCCCGAAAGCAAAAGAACCACCCGATCAATTTACAGGGATTTTTACACGGTGTTACCACCAAAGGGCAAAATGTACTAAACAGTTAGGTAGACGGCAGGGTATCATCACCGGGGGCATTTCCTTTGAATGGGCTTCCACCACTCCCAGCCCGGCTTCCGGGTGAATTGACACTTTTCTTCTTCGAGTCTTTCTTGTCACGCTTCTTTTTCTCACGTGTAGCACCCCGGGACTCATCCGGTCGGCTTGGACTGCGACTGGACTCGCTGCGGCGGAGATCTTTGAATTCTTTGATCACCTCGCGGAATCCTTCTTCGATGTTGTTCATGCGAGCTAGAACCAACTTGCTGATCATGTCTTGGGTTTGGATTGGGGCTTCACGACGAATAACGGGTGGGGCAAAGCCTAGCTGGGTCTGGAAACTAGACGGAAGGGCACCGGCAAAGCCACCCGCCACGGCCTTGTTGTCGCCTAGGTCAGATCCCAGATCGAAGAGAAGGGATGATCGACGACGTGTGCCTGTGGGCCGATCAGATAGGTAGTTACTGTTCACCTCGGGGACGGACATGTGGTTTAGTCCAATCGCAGGATTCCGAGGACGAGATACGGCTAGAATGTGACGCTTCATGGTACCTTGGTCTACTGAGGCAGAGGCGATAGGAGGGGATTCTCCATCGGAAGAATCGGCATCTGGCCGTGTAGGCGTGACCCGGCCTTCCGTCTCTTCATTTGGAGATCCAACGGGATTGTACAGCATGGTGACACCGGAAGCATTCCGCGTGTGCCTGATGCGACGTGTAGGGCTGTTGCGACGTGAGATAATCATTGCCGTAGATGGGCGAGAGCTGTAGAACTTGGGCGAGGGTTTCTCTGCGCCTCCGACCGAGTCAGCCATCTCACCCGTGGAGCCTGGGGCCAAGTTCTTGTCATCGTTTGAGTCGCCATCGTTGCTGGTAAGTTCATCATCGCCCTCCATGTCTGTATGATGCGAGAGTTGTCGTTTCTGAGTGGGCGAGACAGAGGGTCTTGTGCGCCGAGGCCGGATGACTGGGCTTGTAACGCAGCTTGTTCGGTCCTCGGGATTCGAAGCAACCGATCGGGTCGTTTCGGTGAAATTTCGAGGTTTGTTGGCCAATCTAGCCCGGAATGGAAATTTGGGTCGTTGCCGATGCACCCCACGATGGTCCACAATTAGCGAATCCCCATCATCAGGTCCATTGGCTGGTTCAGAGCCAATCTCCTGCATCCAGTTTTTGATGACGTTATTGGTCTGGTGTTCATGCACAGTGCTCGGTGGCCCTCGGATTCGATCGTCATTGTAAGGACGTCGAAACACTTCCTCCAACGCTCGATCCTTCTGGAATGTTGCCACAGAGGGCTCTCGCCTAAAGACCGATGCACTGGTGCTGAAACCACGGAATCGACTGGGCTGCCATTTCTGGGCTTGAGGTGGAGTTTCATTCTGTGTAGGTTCAATTAGATCCATCGGCTGAACGACTCGAGAACAGAGGATTGTCTTCTCATAGAAACAAATTGTGAACAGTATGGGTAAGTGTGTTATCTTGATAATGGTCCGGTTGAGCCGAATGAATTCACGGAACGGCATCAAGTATCGGAATGGTGTCACTAGCCAGGCAATGACGTTTGTCGGCGCCACATAGGAGAACAAAGCATCAGACTTGACCATCGAGATGGTATTGACAGCGAACAAGAACTGATGTTCTTGATTTGCATTCTGGACAATTCTCATGAAGGAATTGGTCAGAACCGTGATCAAGATAGTGACGACGACAAAATGACAGATGAACAGGAAGACCGTCAGGATAGTTTTCCCTAGAAAGTTGTATTCATCCCACATTGCCCATGCGGTTGGCGTAAATCCCATCAGCATCTGGAACAAACCATAAGCCACCACTTTGGGGGACTTGTTGTCTCCAAAGTATAAGAAAGAGACAAAAAAGCCAGAGCAAGAAATGACGATGAGTACAAAGACGGCAATTAGATCTGATGCCATTATTCGGAAAGCAATGAGGAGTTGGGAAAAGTAGCGATAATGATCCAATATGGAAAACAACCTCGGGAATAGCAAGGGAGCTGTAGCCGTAAGAACATCGAACTGAAATGAATTAGCATATATCGATAAAAGAACCTTCGTGAAGATATAAAAACTTACGGCTTGATCGGCGATGAATTGACTTCTAGGGTATGTCAGGAATGTGCCGTATATCCTCAAGCAATAGTATGCAAAGAGCAATAGCAGAATCCCGACGTCGAACAGATTCCAGAAGCTCATCAGATAAAGACTAAATCCTTGCTCATTGAACCCAACAACTTCATCAAGCATAAATCCGGCACTCCAGAACCAGAATACAATTTCAAGAGATGTGACCCTGCGGCTGCGCTGTTCCAGAACAGCCAGGAAAAGTCCCAAGAGTACTGCAAAGGATAGAGTGGAAAGAAACTGTCGATAGCGCGGCACTCTCAGCCTCGATAACTTGAACAAAGATGCGTCCCGGGGTTGTAGATTGTCACTGATCGCCGAAGTGTCTTATTGCTGGAGTCGGTTGTAATGTCCCCATTGGGATCCATTGTTGCCCCATAATCCAGGTTTCCACCTTGCTTCATGTTCACAGGACGGTGGAGATTGTCGGCGGCAGAGTGAAAGACAACCGTTCCTGCCCAGATAGCCTCCAATTGTTGCACCACGACAGGATGAGCCAAGAACCGCTTGGCCTGCGCGCGAATAGCGACTTCCAAGCATGAGACACGGGCAGCAACCACCCGTTTCCGCTGGGGGCCAGTGACTAGTGTCGTGGATTGATCCTGGCCCTGGAGGGGATAGAACTCGTAGGACAGCGCATCGATCAATTCTCGGGTCGAGTATTCCCGCAATAGCTTTATTGCCAATAGTTCACTGACCATTGCCCGTGTTTGATTTGCCCCGCTATTCCCCGGACTCAGGTGTATTTCTCTCTCGAATTGCAGACAATTGGCCATTAATGCATAGAGGGTCGCGCGCGAAAAGTGGGCCGACATGATCTTTTGCAGGATTGGCTTGATCAGGAACTGGGAGACCTGCGGCGAGCGTAGTTGGTCCCATGTTAGGGTGGTTTCGCAGCGGGAGGCTATCAAGGGACGGATGGCGTGGGTAATGTTGTAAACAGGCAGCGCATCTAATCAGTTGGTCAATTGTTCACCGTACACATTGTACCCTAGAGATCTCTTCGTACCCAAATGCGACGCAGAGAACATAGGCAGTAGAGGTGTAGACTCGAGTGGTCCGTCCTCTTCCTCTTCATCCCAGTCCTGATCCATATCTTCTTCATCGATTTCCTGAAGCTCTGGCCCATCATCGCTGCTTTCATCGGCTCGGGGGACGCGTCGCGGGTTGTTGTTCGCGCCGCGAAACCACGGCGAAGGGGTCGAGAATGGGGACTGCTCCATCTGCCCGCGCTGGCGCTTTGGACGAAGCAGCGAGGCGAACATGGCGAAGAAATTTCAAGATCTAGATCGGCATAACATAACCGAGGTTGTTTGTTGGGAGGTTGTAGGATGTTAGAGCATTGCGGAGTAAAATGCGATAAGACGCGAGAAAACCAAAGGAAAAAAGCAGGAAAGCAAACAAGCAAGAAGTTGAAGGTTAAAAGTGCAGGCCAAAGCGGGATTAATTTAGTCCAAAGATCTCATATGTACCTTTTTAGTGTTAGAGGAAAATCTAAGCTCCCACTATGGTCAATCCCCACGTCATTGTACTGATTACCCCGGTTCACCCCTTGTAAGCTTATTTTATCTCCAATCTTTACCTAGATATTTGTTTACCTAGGTGGATATTTAGATCTATAATTCCTTATAAATCCTTATAGATCTTTAAACTATTAGGTGTTATAGCTATCCTTGAACTTCAAGGGATATTGATTATTTTTTTGGTCATGAATCCTGTTATTTCACCAACATGCAGAGGATGTACATACATAATGCCTACATATAACAGCACTCGATAGGTCAGAATGATTCGCCACATGTGCGACATTAGAAGGGATGACCAGCATTGTACTACACTTATCTATTGGATGAGATGATAGAAGCAATACCTATAACATATACATTTATTCATCTATATAGTTATCTAATACTGTTCTACTCCATATATAACGTGTGGTATATTTACCTGTGGGCTGCCCACATCAATATATGATACCGTTATCGGCCCACTGCCCGTGCATTGCATCATATGCAGTAACGCTTGCATGTATATAGAGGAAAATTGGGATTTACAGAGAGAATTATAAAAACCTACAAAAATCATCAATTGACCATATATGATAAAAATGAATAATACCATAGCATAATAGTCCATAGGAATTATACGGAAAATCTCTGCGGTGAAACTGATTGACCGAAAGCAGAAAAAGAGTGGGTCCCGAAAAGGCTTTTTGCACGAAAATATTTTCTGCCGAAACTCGCTTTTCCTCTCTTCCTCCTCCACAGCTGGTTGCAGCAAACAGTTTCTTTTCTTTCTTTTTTTTATATCGATACTCCCTTCTGCGGTCCTTTCTTCCCTTACAAGCCAAACAAACAAAATTTCGCAGATGAACTAGAGTGACCTGCTCGCACTAGATCGAACTAGATCGTCCTCGAGAGGACTTGTTCCCTCACACCAATTCCGATGTCTCCCAATTCCCTTGAGGATCCAGCTCTGCCTACCAGCCCACACCTTGGTAGTGTAGTTGGCTACCCAGAGACCCTGCCCAACATGAATTCTGTCAGTGGAGTGATCAAGCCCGCCTCCATCCCAGTCCGGGGTGGCTCAGACCGGTTGGCTGCCCTCGAACTCGCGGATGGCACTATCTACCAAGGTTACAACTTTGGTGCTGAAAAGAGCGTCTCGGGTGAATTGGTCTTCCAGACTGGTATGGTCGGTTACCCCGAGTCCATCACCGATCCCTCATACCGCGGCCAGATCCTGGTCGTCACTTTCCCGCTTGTGGGAAACTACGGTGTCCCTTCGCACGATGAGATGTGTGAGTTCCTGAAGGACTTGCCCAAGCACTTCGAGTCCAGTCAGATTCACATTTCGGCCCTGGTGGTGGCAGCCTACGCCGGTGAGGATTTCTCCCACTTCTTGGCCAAGTCCTCCCTGGGCGATTGGCTCAAGTCCGAGGGCATTCCGGCCATGCACGGTGTCGACACTCGTGCTTTGACCAAGCGCCTTCGTCAGACCGGTAGCATGCTGGGTCGCATGCTGCTGCAAAAGTCCGGCTCCACCCCAGATGCTGCTGGTGTTGCCGGTGTCGACTGGAAGTCACACTTCGAGGAGACCGAATGGGTGGACCCGAACACAAAGAACCTCGTCGCTGAGGGTGAGTGATCTACAAAGCTGATACAGCGAAAAAGCAAACGAAGACTTGGTTTCTAACAGTATCTTTTTTTTTCTCTTACAGTCTCAATTCGCGAACCTCGCCTATTCACACCTCCCGCCGATGTTGCCCTCAAACACCCCTCCGGCCGTGGAGTCCGCGTCCTTTGCTTGGATGTCGGTATGAAGTACAACCAGCTGCGTTGTTTGCTTGCACGCGGTGTGGAGGTTTTGGTTGTGCCATGGGACTACGATTTCCCCACCCTTGCTGGAAAGGATTTCGACGGTCTCTTCGTGTCGAACGGTCCTGGTGATCCCGCGACCCTGACCGTTACCACTAAGAACCTGGCCAAGATGTTCGAGGATGCCCGCACTCCCGTCTTTGGTATCTGCCTGGGTCACCAGTTGATTGCTCGCGCTGTCGGCGCTCAGACTACCAAGATGAAGTTCGGTAACCGCGGTCACAACATCCCCTGCACAAGCATGCTCTCTGGCAAGTGCCACATTACTTCTCAGAACCACGGTTATGCTGTGGATGCCAGCACCCTTCAGAACGGATGGGAAGAGCTGTTTGTCAACGCCAATGACGGCAGTAACGAGGGTATCCGTCACACCAGCCGCCCCTTCTTCAGTGTTCAATTCCACCCCGAGAGCACACCCGGCCCCCGGGATACCGAGTACCTGTTTGATGTGTTCATCAACACCATCCAGTCTACCATTGCCTCCGCCGAGGCTCTCAGCCTGCCCGTCTCTTTCCCCGGCGGCACCAAGGCCGAGAATATCGTGGCTGCTCCCAGAGTCTCCGTCAAGAAGGTTCTGGTTCTTGGTTCCGGTGGTCTCAGCATTGGCCAGGCTGGAGAGTTCGATTACTCTGGCAGTCAAGCCATTAAAGCTCTGAAGGAAGAGGGTATCTATACCATTTTGATCAACCCCAACATTGCCACCATTCAGACCTCCAAGGGTCTGGCTGACAAGGTTTACTTCCTGCCCGTCAACGCCGAATTCGTCCGCAAGGTCATCAAGCACGAGCGTCCTGATGCCATCTACGTCACTTTCGGTGGTCAGACTGCCCTTTCGGTCGGTATCCAGCTCAAGGACGAGTTTGAAGAGCTCGGCGTCAAGGTTCTCGGTACCCCTATTGATACTATCATTACTACCGAGGATCGTGAGCTGTTCGCTCGCAGCATGGATTCCATCAACGAGAAGTGCGCCAAGTCTGCTTCTGCTTCCACCCTCGAGGAGTCCCTGCGTGTAGTTGAGAACATCGGCTTCCCCGTCATTGTTCGTGCCGCCTACGCTCTTGGTGGCCTCGGCAGTGGTTTCGCTGAGAACATGGATGAGCTGAAGGAACTCTGCACCAAGGCTCTGGCCGTCAGCCCCCAGGTGCTGATTGAGCGCTCTATGAAGGGCTGGAAGGAGATTGAGTACGAGGTTGTTCGTGATGCCCAGGACAACTGCATCACTGTCTGCAACATGGAGAACTTCGATCCCCTTGGTATTCACACCGGTGACTCCATTGTCGTGGCTCCTTCCCAGACCCTCTCGGACGAGGACTACAACATGCTGCGAACCACCGCAGTCAACGTCATTCGTCACCTCGGCGTTGTCGGTGAATGTAACATTCAGTATGCCCTCAACCCCTTCTCTAGGGAGTACTGCATCATTGAGGTCAACGCTCGTCTGTCTCGATCCTCCGCCCTGGCCTCCAAGGCTACCGGATATCCTCTTGCCTTCATTGCTGCCAAGTTGGGTCTTGGTATCCCCCTGAACGAGATTAAGAACTCGGTCACCAAGTCCACTTGCGCCTGCTTCGAACCCTCGCTTGACTACTGTGTGGTCAAGATCCCTCGTTGGGATCTGAAGAAGTTCACTCGCGTGTCTACTGAGCTTGGTTCCTCTATGAAGAGTGTCGGTGAAGTCATGAGTATTGGCCGAACCTTCGAGGAAGCTATCCAGAAGGCTATTCGCTCTGTTGATTTCCACAACCTTGGTTTCAACGAGTCCGATGCCCTCATGTCTATCAAGGGCGAGCTCCAGACTCCCTCTGACCAGCGTCTGTTTGCCATTGCCAATGCCATGGCCGCCGGTTACACTGTTGATGACATCTGGAAGCTCACCAACATTGACAAGTGGTTCCTCAGCCGCCTCAAGGGCCTCAGTGACTTCAGCAAGTCCATGTCCACTTTCAATGCTACCTCCGTGCCCGTGCCAATGATCCGCCAGGCCAAGCAGCTTGGTTTCTCTGATCGCCAGCTCGCCAACTTCTTGGACTCCAACGAGCTTGCTGTGCGCCGCATGCGTGTTGAGGCTGGTATCACACCCATTGTCAAGCAAATTGATACCGTCGCTGCCGAGTTCCCCGCCGTGACCAACTACCTCTACCTCACCTACAATGCTTCCCAGCATGATCTGACTTTCGACGATCACGGTATCATGGTCCTGGGTTCTGGTGTCTACCGTATTGGTTCCTCGGTCGAATTCGATTGGTGTTCCGTGCGTACCATTCGTACGCTCCGCGAGCAGGGTCACAAGACTATCATGGTCAACTACAACCCCGAGACTGTCAGTACCGATTACGATGAGGCTGACCGCCTTTACTTCGAGAACATCAACCTGGAGACTGTTTTGGACATCTACCAGCTGGAGACTTCCAGCGGTGTGATCATGTCTATGGGTGGTCAGACCCCTAACAACATCGCTCTGCCTCTTCACCGTCTCAATGTCAACATCCTGGGTACTTCCCCCGAGATGATTGATGGTGCTGAGAACCGTTACAAGTTCTCCCGCATGCTGGATCGTATCGAGGTTGATCAGCCCGCTTGGAAGGAGCTGACCAGCATTGAGGAGGCCCGCGGATTCTGTGACAAGGTCGGCTACCCCGTGCTGGTCCGTCCCTCATACGTGCTTTCCGGTGCTGCTATGAACACTGTCTACTCCGAGCATGATCTGGCTAGCTACTTGAACCAGGCTGTCGATGTCTCCCGTGAGCACCCTGTTGTTATCACCAAGTACATTGAGAACGCAAAGGAGATTGAGATGGACGCTGTTGCCCGTAACGGTGTTATGGTTGGCCACTTCATCTCCGAGCACGTTGAAAACGCTGGTGTTCACTCTGGTGACGCTACTCTCA